AGATACATAAATTACCTAAAACCAATGAAATGGTGTCCAACTTCATTAGGAAAATGCCAATTAGCACCACAATAAGATCATACTACACATCCAAGAGAATGACGAAATTAAATACTGACAATACCAAATGTGAACATGCAAGTGAAAGTGAAACTCTTAATATAGTGCCTACAGCAATGCATAAAGGCTCAGTTATTTTGGAAAACAGGCAGTTTCTTTTTTTTTTATCCTCACCTGAGGATATTTTTGTATTTGTCTTCAGATAGAGCGGGAGGGAGAGAGGGGGGAAGAGAGAGAGAAGAACATTGATGTGAGAGAGACACATCAAATGGTTGCCACCCACACTACCCCAACCAGGGCCGGGGACAAACGGCAACCGAGGTACGTGCTCTTAGCAGGAACCGAACCCGGGACTCTCAGGACCACAGGCCGACGCTCTAACCGCTGAGCCAAACCGGCCAGGGTGGAAATTGAAACTTTTAAATAAAGCAATGTATAACATTTTACCCTAGGCTAATTAACATAAACAAGAGTGAAGTTCCTATGGCATAATCTCTGGCCACAAAAACAACACCAAACTTTTAAATAAAGTAAAAAACACTTCTTACATTAAACATTAAAATAAATGTGAGCTATCCATACGTTTAAGAAATATTAATAAAAACAAGTCATATAATTCTTTCCCGTCCACTGTCTCCAGCTCAGGATCACTTGTGTCTGGAGCCTCTTCCAGCAGCTCAGGGTGCCAAGCAGTACCCCCTTTCCCCCGGACAGGACGCCTTTCCGTCACAGAGCTACTCACCCACACCCACACCCACACCCACACCCGCACTCAGACTGGGACAATGCAGATACACCAGTTCACTTCGCACGCACATCTTTGGGATGTGGGAGGAAACTGGGGTGCCCAGAGAAAACCCCTGCAGACATGGAAAGATTATGCAAACTCCACAATGACAGTGGCCCCAGCTGGGAATCAATATTTTTTTCCCCCATCAACATTATAAAAACATGATATTGAACAAAACAACATTATTCTGGGACCTGCTCGATACAGATTCGGTGCAATCCCTATCAAAATCCCAATGGTATTTTCACAGTATTAAAACAAACCATCCTAAAATGTATATGGAACCACAAAAGAACCTGATTAGCCAAAGCAGTCTTGAGAAAGACTACAGGCATCACGTTTTCTGATTTCAAACTATATTATAAAGCCATAGTAACCAGAACAGTAGATTGTTAGCATACAAATGGACACATAGACCAATGTAACAGAATAGAGTGCCCAGAAACAAACCCACAGATTTATAACAAAGCAGCCAAAAACATACAATGGGGATAGTCTTCTCAATAAACGGTGCTGGGAAAACTGGACAGCCACACGAAAAAGAACAAAACTGGACCCCTACTTTACACCACTCCCCAAAATTAACTTGAAATGGACTAAAGATGTGAACATAAGACTTGAAACCATAAGACTTCCAGAAGAAAACATAAGCAGTAAGCGTCTAGACATCAATCTTGACAATGACCATTTGGATTTGACACCAAAAGCAGAAGTAAACAAGTGAGACAACATCAAATAAAAAACTCGTCGCCCAGCCTGGTCGGTGTGGCACAGTGGTTGAGTTTTGACCCATGCACCAAGAGGTCACCGGTTTGATTTCTGGTCAGGGCACATGCCCAGGTTGTGGGCCCGATCCCCAGTGGGGGGCATGCAGGAGGCGGCCAATCAATGTTCTCTCTCATCAATGTTTCTCTCTCTCTCTCCCTCTCCCTTCTTCTCTCTAATATCAATAAAGAGAACAAACAAACAAACAAAAAACGCTGGGTACATGAAGGAAACCATCAGGATAACAAAAGGCAACCTATGGAATGGGAGAAAATATGTGTAAATCATATATCTGATAAGGGGTTAATATCCAAACTATATAAAAACTCATACAACTTAGTTGCAAAAAAGCAAATCATCAAATTAAAAAACAATCAGATGAACTTTATAGACATTTTCCCAAAGGAAGCTTACAAATTGGCACATGAAAATGTGCACAATATCACCAGTCATCAGGGGAATGAGAGTCAAAACCACAATGAGATGTCACCTTGTGCCCTGGCCAGTTTGGCTCAGTGGTTAGAGCATCAGCCTGTGGACTGGAGAGTCCCGGGTTCAGTTCCCCCAAGGGCATGTTCCTCGGTTGTGGTTTGTCCCCCGTGTGGGTGGCAGGTACTCGATGTGTCTCTCTCACGTCAATGTTTCTCTCTCTGTCTTCCTCCCTCCTTCCCTCCTGCTCTAGCTGAAGATAAATAAAAAATAAAAAAAAATAAAAAATGGAGATGTCACCTCACACCTGTTAGAAGGGCTGTCAGCAAAAAAGACAAGAAATAAGTGTTGGCAGGAATGCGGAGAAAAGAGAACCTTTTTGCACTGTTGGCGGGAATGCAAACTGCTGCAGTCACTATAAAGAACAATATGAAAGTTCCTCAAAAACGTTAAAAAGAACTACCATATGATCCAGCAATCCAGCTTATGATTATTTATCCAAAGAAAATAAAATCACCATCTTGAAGAGAGATCTGCACCCCCATGCTCACTGCAGCATTATCCATCTATCGAAGGAAACAACCCAGTGTCCTTCGATAGATGAATGGATAAGAAAATGTATGTTTGGCCCTGGCCAGTTTGGCTCAGCGGTTAGAGCATCGGCCTGCGGTCCAGAGAGACCTGGGTTCGGTTCCCGCTAAGGACACATACCTCGGACACAGTTTGTCCCCGGCCGTGGCTGGTTGTGCGGGTGGCAGCCACTCGATGTGTCCCTTTCACATCGAAGTCTCTCTCTCTCTCTCTCTCTTCCTCCCTCCCACTCTATCTTAACAAAAAAGTGGAAAAATGTCCTCGAGTGAGGATAAAAAAAAAAAGAAAATGTATGTTTGTGTGTGTGTGAATATTAGCCATAAAAAAAGTAGGAAATCCTGCCATTTGTGACAACATGGATGAACCTTGAGGGCATTATGCTAAGTGAAATAAGTCAGACAGAGAAAGGCAAATAGTGCATGATTTCATTTATATATGACATTTGTAAAACCCCACTGAAATCAGATACAGAGAACAGATTGATGGGTGCCAGAGGTGAGGTTTGGGGGAGGTGGGGAAAATGGGTGAAGGGGGGTCAAGAATACAAACTTCCAGTTATAAGATAAATAACTCCTGGGATGAAATGTACAGCATGGTGACTACAGCTAATACTACTGTATTGTACATTTGAACATTGTTAAGGAATAAAAGTCCTCACAAGAAAAAGATGATAACTGTATGAAGTGATGAATGTTCACTAAACTTGTTCTGGTAATCATTTCACAGTATGCATACATATATACATATACATATATTCACATATACACACACACACACATATATACACACGCACACATATACACACGTATACCTGTATACATATACATATATACATACACAAATACACATATATCTGTATATATGTGTATGTATATGTTTATGTAAATGTATATAACCATTATGATATACACCTGAAACTAAAATAATGTTGTATGTCAATTAATCTCAATTATTTTAAAGATAATTTTAAAGACAAGAAATTGTAAAGAAACCGAATTAACATTGTCAATAGTTTTTCCTCTCATCCCCAAAGATGATGACCACCTATTTTTAGTTAGCCTCTTTTTAAGATACAGCAGAATTATTGTTTCATGTACTCTAGTGAAAAAAAAAAAGTTTCATATAGTTGATTATGGGACAGTGAGTAGGAAGAAATTAGAAATGTAGTCCTAAGACTTCTTGGCTTATATTAATATAAGTCGAATGTACAAATAGCTGATGTCCAAAAGATATTTCAATGAAAAATTATACAGAAATACTGTACAGCTAACAAAATTATAGAACGATTCTATTCCATAAGATTTTATTTAATAAAATTCGGTATTACTTGAAGTTTTCAATCCATAAAAATTGATAATAAAACACTTCCCAAAATCTACAAATAGCACAGAGAAGAAAAGACAGCAAATCTACTAATTTTACTGAGTAAACACTCCTTAGTTTTAGCTATTAGCACTTAGAGTAGAGTAGGTACCTGTTAGACAAATACTTTTTAAATCCTCACCTGAGGACATTTTTCCATTTTTTGTTCAGATAGAGTGGGAGGGAGAGAGAGAGGGAGAGAAACATTGACGTGAAAGGGACACATCGAGTGGCTGCCACCCACGTAACCCAACCAGGGCCGGGGACAAACTGCAACCAAGGTACATGCCCTTAGCAGGAACCAAACCCAGGTCTCTCTGGACCGCAGGCCAACGCTCTAACCGCTGAGCCAAACTGGCCAGGGCGAAGAACATATTCTTTGAAGCAGCCTGGAATATGAGCATTCCTGCTGACTATGGCCATGGCCCAAGTAATAAAGGGGTCAGACCACATCCTCTCTTTCATGCAGTTGTGGACACCAGCATCTGTGCCCCCCCCCACTTTAAAGGAGGGTGCACGTGTGTTTGTGCGTGTTGGAGAAATGCTGTAGAGCCAGTAGGTCTTGTGAAAAAAGAACAGAGTCTAGCAGCAGAGGGCTTAGTGTAGAAATCTTGCGATGTTATGGTTCAGACTGAAGAATAAAGAGAAAGTAGAAAACCCTTGGACCAGTCTGTCCCTTCACTCCTTGAAATTTCTGTAGACTTGCTGAATTTTAAAGCCCATCTTCTGGAAAGACTGTAACAGCCACAAATTCGTTACTGATGGATACTAACCAGCTAGCTGGAGATCCATGGTGATCCCTGGTGTCAGTGTTTTCCAAATCCACAAAACCCTTTTTGGTGTCCAGCTTTCTTCCGCTGGTTCCATGACAGCATCCCAGTCATATTTCAAGTAGGTTGCGTGATGCTAATTAAGGTGGAATTGACCAAACCCAGAATATTTAGATTTTAAGGGTATTGTGAAAAGCCTGTGCTGAACATGATGCCTGTGGTCTTCTTTCTAGAGAGATGTTTTCCATGATCTCGGCAGGGGAATTCTGGAAAGTGCTTGGCAGGGTTACAATGCCACCCTCCTGGCTTACGGCCAGACTGGCTCTGGAAAAAGCTATTCCATGATTGGGTTTGGCGCCAACAAGGGTATCATCCCCAATGTATGTGAAGAGCTCTTTCAAGCAATGGAGAACCGGGAGAGAAATCAAGAATACCAGGTATGTGTTATCCGAAGAGACCTTCTTCAAGGAATTTTTTTTTTTTTTTCCATTTTGGAAATCCTCCACCCCAAATAGAAGTTATCAGCATCTCTATTTTAGAATAAGGTTAACTTTTCACACCCAAATCCTTTTTACATGATTATAAAATCAAGTTGCAGCTAAATAAAATGTTGAATTTTGTTTGTTTGTTTGTTCTATGGATATAAACCCAAGGAAGTATCTGTAAAAAGCATTTTGAGTATCACAGAAACAGACGTCTTTAATACTAACCCCAATGAGGGATTCTTGTTGAGGCTTATATAATAAAACCTTAGCTGATGTGAGTCTGTGGTTTTCTTTGCTGTCCTCTGTATCAAGGTGTGGGTATGTTCTCGTCTTAATTTATTAAATTTTTTTCTTTCTTTTTTGTGTTAGTCCTCACCCAAGGATATTTTTTCCATTGACTTTTAGAGTGGAAGGGAGGGAGAGCTGAGGATAGGGGTGGGGAGAGAGAATGGGGGGAGAGAAAGAGAAAGAGAAATATTGATATAAGAGAGAAACATTGACCAGTTGCCTCCTGCATGTGTCCCAACTAGGAGTGGGGATCAAACCTGTAACCCAGGTACGTGCCCTTGACTGGGAATCAAACCCGAGATCCTTGGGTGCATGGACTGGACACTGTATCCACTGAGCCATACTGGCCAGGGTTGATTTTTTTTTTAATCCTCACCTGAGGACATTTTTCCATTTTTTGTTCAGATAGAGTGGGAGGGAGGGAGGGAGAGAGGCAGAGAGAGAGAAAGAGAGAGAGAGAGAGAGAAAGGGACACATCGAGTGGCTGCCACCCGCACAACCCAACCAGGGCCGGGGACAAACTGCAACTGAGGTACGCGCCCTTAGCGGGAACCGAACCCGGGTCTCTCTGGGCCACAGGCCGACGCTCTAACTGCTGAGCCAAACCAGCCAGGGCACAAGATGACCTTCTTACACCATATACAAGAACAAAGTAAAATGGATTAAAGGCTTAAATATAAGACTAAAAACAATAAAACTCCTAAAAGAAAACATAGGTGGTAAAATCTCAGACATTTCTCAAAGCAATATTTCTTCTGATATATCTTTTCAGGCAAGGAAAGCAAAATAAAAAAATAAATAAACAAACAGGACTACATCAAACAAATGTTCTTGCACAGCGAAGAAAACCAACAAAACAAAAAGACAACCTAGTGAATGGGAGAAGACATTCATAGGGGTTAATGTCCAAAATTTATATAGAACTCATACAACTCAACACCAAAAACAACCCAATTAAAAAATGGGCAGAGGACCTGAATAGACACTTCTCCAAAGAGGACATGCGGATGACCAATAGACATGAAAAGATGCTCAATGTCACTAATCATTAGAGAAATGCAAAACCACAGTGAGATATCACCTTACACCCGACAGAATGGCTGTCATCAATAAATCAACAAACAAGTGTTGGTGAGGGTGTGAAGAAAAGGGAAACCTCGTGCACTGTTGGTGGAAATGCAGGTTGGGGCAGCCACTTTGGAAAACAGTATGGAGGTTCCTCCAAAAAATAAACATGGAATTGCCTTATGACCCAGTGATTCCACTTATGGGTATTATTTCTGAAAACCCCAAAACACTAATTCAAAAGATTATATGAATCCCTATGTTCACTGTGACATTATTAACAAGAGCCAAGATATGGAAGCAACCCAACTGCCCATCAATAGACAAGTGGATAAAAAAGTGGTGGTACATATATACAATGGAATATTACTCAGCAATAAAAAAGATTGAAATTTTACCCTTTGCTACAGCATGGATAGACCTAAAAGGTGTTATGCTAAGTGAAATAGGTCAGTCAGAGAAAGACAAATACTATATGATTTTACTTACTTATAGAATCCAATGAACAAAATAAAACAAACTAGAAACACACTTTTGGAGACAGAGAGCAGACTGGTGGTCGCCAGAAGGGAGGCAGGGGTAGGGGGATTGGGTGGAAAAGGTAAAGAGATTAGGAAGTACAAGTTGGTAGTTACAAAACAGCCCTGGGGATGTAAAATACAACAGAGAATATAGTCAGTCAATATTATAACTATGTATGGTGCCAGGTGGGTACTTGAAACATCAAAGGGATGACTTTGTAAAGAACATAATTGTGTAACTGCTATGCTGTACACATGAAACTAACTCAAAATAATATTGAATGTCAATTCTAATTGAAAAATAAAATTTAAATTAAAAAAAAAGAATCTTAAGGCCTTTTCTCTAGATTAGAACCATTCAAATTCCTCCAGTCTCTTGTTTAAGAGGTATAAGCTGGGCCCTGGCCGGTTTGGCTCAGCGGTTAGAGCATTGACCTGCGGTCCAGAGAGACCTGGGTTCGGTTCCCACTAAGGGCATGTACCTCGGTCGCAGTTTGTCCCCGGCCCTGGTCGGTTGTGCGGGTGGCAGCCACTCGATGTGTCCCTTTCACGTCGATGTTTCTCTCTCTCTCTCCCTCCCACTCTATCTGAACAAAAAGTGGAAAAATGTCCTCGGGTGAGGATTAAAAAAAAAAAGAGAGGTATAAGCTGGGCTAAGGTTCCAGAAACATGGTAAAGCCAGTGTGTCTCGACATATGTTCAGATTGGAGGGTCAGCCATGAAGATCCACCTATTTCTGTTCCCAGCTGAATCGGAGACACACACAGTTTTGCATTAAATTAAATTTATAATTTGTACTAAGAATTTCCTCTATATCAAAATTATTTGAGAACCTCATATTGCGCATGAAATCATTTTATTCCATTTAATGTTAGATTTTCCCTTTGTTGGACATTTATATTGTTTCCATATTACACCCCACCCCCACCCCAAAGATGCCAGTTTCAAGAGAATCTTAATTGACTTTATGCTCTTTTCCATGCAGGTTACATTCAGTATGCTGGAAATTTACAACGAGCAGGTAATAGTGATTGTACTTTCTGACACACAAATCTGAGAAACTCTGCAGTTTAATAAACATCAGGGACTCCCCTCGCCTGTCCTACAGATAAAGTCAGAACTCTCCAGCCTGACACTGAGCCGCCCTCACCTCCCTCTCCACAGAGCTGTTCTTCCTTCCCAGACACGTCATTTTCCACATCTAGCCCTCGCAGAGACCAGACTTAGATGCAGGCAGCTGACACCCGTCAGCAAGGTGCTGTGGGGGACTGGCAAACTCGATCTTCAAAGGGCCAGTGGGTAATATTCTCGTCTCTGTTGCAACCACTCACCTCTGCCCTTGTGCCACAGAAACAGCCACAGATGACATGACAGTGAATGGGTGTGGCCGTGTACCAATAACACTCGGTGTGTGGACACCGACACTTGCATTTCACATCACTTTCAGCGTGATTCAAAATAGGTTTTTTGTTTTTCTCCCCAGCCACATAAAAATGAGAAAAACATTCTCATCTGGAGGCTCATAGAGAAACAGGCAGTGGCCGGAACCTGGCCCACGGCCCCCCGTCTCTGTTCCTGGCGCAGCTGGGGCGAATGTGGGGCCGACGCCAGCTCTGTCCCTCACTAGCTGTGCGACTCGGGGGTTTCCGTAGGGGATCTAAACTAAGATCTGTGCTCACTCTTACGTTCCTAACACACTGCCCAGCGAAGGCTAAATACTCTCAAGCGTTTTTTCACTTGGTTCTTTCCCTTTGCCCTTATTATGTTATTCTGTAAAAATTTATGTACACATTTGTATCTCCCAAAACAGATGAGATCCTGTGGTTGCCTTTCTATCTGCAGCCCTTGGAACAGTGTTTGGTTTGGAATGGGTGTACATTTCTATGGGCAGAGACCATCTCCTAAGAATTTGGGGGAACCCCAAGCACTCTCCAAAGTCTTGCACTTACTACTAAATAAGTATTACAGAAGGAACAAATCTGTCAGTGTTTTTCTCTTTACATCAAGGAGAGAAAAGATGTTGTTTCTCACTTGCTTCCACGAGTCATTTATTACAGCCGAAGGTTGACAGTACATTTGAATGGGTTATTACATTAAGGTCTCTGATTGAGTATCTGTTTCTTTCAAGTTGATGGGCTTGGAAGACAGGATGGCTCCTTTACTTTGTACCAACAGCCTTATGAGGACGACTTTATTTCCTTTACTGCCAAGCTCTTGTGGAGAAAGGCATCTCATTGTGGTTCCCCTACTGCTACCTATTTATGATGATAACCTCTCTGCAATTCTGTTTCCTTGTCTCTGATATAAGAACACTGGACATTCTAACAACCTTTTCATGTCTCCTAATCTGTGAGTCTCTGGTAGTTTTCCATGAGGTACTTCAACAGTCAATAAAAGTGATGTTCATTAGATACCTTGAATGTTTCTGACATCATACTGGACTCCGGGGATGAATAAAACCTAAGACATGATTCCTGCCCCGGGGAAGTTTGGCGGACGATACGACACCCACTCCAGACGGGAGTGCATCGCACGCGTGGCGTGGATGGTGGAGAGACAGGCGAGGGAGCCCCTAACGCTGCCTGGAGACTGGTGGTTGCAACAGAGGCATCAGATTGAGCCTTGGAAGATGTTTGAGTTTGGTGAGGGGTAGGAGGCTTGGGGCTGCAAAGAGGGATACCCTAGGCAGCAGGATCTATATTCACAAGTCCAGGAATACCTGAAAGTCCACGGCATGTACGAGAACAGGGGCTGCCCTGTGGAGCCAGACGTGGATACGTGGGGGGCGGAGGGGAGCATCAGGGGATGAAGCGAAAGACAGGTTGCCACAGTGCGAGGGCTTTTGTCCCGAAGGCCGTGGCAAACTGATGGAAGATTTTCTGTGGGGAAAGAAAGATGATCAGATTGGGGTTTGGAAGCACTGGGGTTTCAGATTTCTCTGGCAGCAGAGTGGAGCTGGGTTAGAGGAGAGCCAACCAGATCCCCACAGCAGCCAAGGTGAGTGACGGAGGTCTTGTGATCAGCAGCAATCTGACCTCCATGAACAACCTGGAGGGCCCTGGTGCCAGCAACGGCCCTTGTCTCTGGGTCCCTACACTTCATTCCGCTGGGATCAAGTTTCTCTCATAAGCCTTCCTCAGTCACATCGTCAGCCTTGAATGCCACTTCCTGCGATGTGTGCCGCTCATTGCAAGCGAGAGAAAAGGCTTCCTCACGAAGGCAAAGGTGATCAGGTCATCTCCGTTTTGGTGTCTCCTTATCTCTGGCCTTTATGTCCACTGTCCTGATTTTGCTCGCCCCGACTTCAATCTGTGATTCTAGGACTTCAAGACACAGAGCTGGGGATCCCTGAGAGATCATCTAACCAAACTGTCCTCTTACAAAGAGAAAACTGGGCATGCAAGAGACTTCCCAAAGCTCTCAGTTGGGAGGCAGAACCAAGACTAAGACGGCAGGTCTGATTCCCAGCCCAGGTGTCGCTGCACCGTTCAGCGCCGACGGCCCCGGGGGGCCTCTGTCTGTACCAGGCTCCCAGAGCGGGCCCTACTTTACCTTGTCACAGGTGGCTCTGGGGTGGGGCAGGAGGACCCAACATGGGCTTTCACCCAAGAACACGGTTTAAGCCCGACATCACACAAATCTCCAAAAACAAGACCCAAAGAATTACCCATGTTCTCTTGTTCGGTGTGACTGTAGCAAATGCCGCATGGATTTGAATACATTTCCCTTGGAGGCAGATCCTAGGTGGTGGCGGGACTTAGGCTAACAGGTCTTCTGTGACATTAGGTACTGTGAGAGTTCCTCACTTCTTATTTTTATTTTCATTTGTCACTGTTCTCAGTAAAGTAAGACTTCACTACATTCCAAGAGAATTTGTGATATTCAGAAAGGGCTAGGATGGTTCATTTTTGTATTATTCCCACAGGACTAAATTAAGAGTTAACAAGATTGCTAGGGGAATATTTCTGTTAGTAAGAGAACAATGTTTTCAAACACAAAAGCTTCAGAAGTACCTATTTGAAGTCAGATAACTGAATGCCCAGGAAATACTTCATCATCCACAGAGCAGCCCAGCTGTGCCCATGCGCAGAGTATCCACATTGTTTGTACGCCTAGCTCCGGTTACACGGCTCCATCACCCAGCATCCACTGAGGGACCACTGTGTGTCAGGAATGATGCTAGGATCTGCTAGTAAAAAAGACACAGTCCAGCCCTGGCCAGTTTGGCTCAGCAGTTAGAGCATTGGCCTGCGGTCTGGAGAGACCTGGGTTCGGTTCCTGCTAAGGGCATGTACCTCGGTTGCAGTTTGTCCCTGGCCCTAGTTGGGTTGTGCAGGTGGCAGCCACTTGATGTGTCCCTTTCACATCAATGTTTCTCTCTCTCTCCTCCTCTCTCTCCCTCCCACTCTATCTGAACAAAGAAGATAGAAAGATGTCCTCAGGTGAGGATAAAAACATAAAATAAAATAAATAATAAACAAAACACAAACAAAAAAATGACACGGTCCCACCCAAAGGGGGTTCACAGTCTAGGTGGAGTACTCTCCGTACCTGAAAGTAATCCAACTGAGTTTTAAAAGTATGCTTCTGACTTCACTAATTACAACAGATTCTCCTATTTCCTTGTTTGCCATTTCCCTGTTTTTAACTTCAATGATGAGGTTGTCCAGTACCTACAGAAATTTAACACTCATGTATTCATCCCATAAGTATTTGTTGAGCACCTAATATGTTCCAGGCCGAGCTTTAACAGTGAAATAAACAAAAACGCCTGCCTTCCTGGAGTTGACATGTTTTACGTCTTTTTCCCCACAGGTGAGAGATTTGCTGTCTAGAACCAAGAAGCCTGGAGGGCTGAAAATAAGGGAAGACACACAGTGGGGCTTTTATGTGGACGGGCTGAAGGCGGTGCCCTGTGAGAACTACGCCCAGATCGAAAGGCTGCTGGAACAGGGAGCAAAAATAAGGACCACAGCTTCGACCAGCATGAACACCAGCAGCAGCAGGTCTCATATGGTCATCACCATCCAGTTCAAGCAGGTGAGAGTTGCGTGAACGCCACTGTCCCCATCTCCCACCAAGGCGACCATGGGGAGGGTTCCCAGGAGCATCATGAGCTGGTGAATATTATAGAATCCTTTCAGATTTGACCGATGGATGAAGGTGGCTACTTCCAGTTATGAGGTGTAAGGCCATGGACTGTCAGGTCATAATCAGGAGAAAGTGAGGTGCTCGCTATTTTCCTGCTCCCCCACACCCATGCCCACCTGCCTCTCTGATACGATGGTGACCAGCTCTCAGATCCATGAGCGTAAGGGACAGCCAGATACTGTGGTCCCTTTCTGAACTACCGAAACAAGTCTTTGCAGCCAGGTAATCCATGTACCTTTGCACGAACTAGAATCTTTGAAATGACAGCATACTTTTCTCCTTCATACTCCTTGGTATAGATGTCAGAGAGCGACCTCTACAGTGTCACCAGTTTGATTCAGAATTGGTTACAGTCAACCCTCCATATCTGCAGGGTCTGCATCTGAGAATTCAACCGACTGTGGATCAAAACTATTCGGTGCTGCATCTGCACTGAACATGTACATACTTGTTTCTTGTCCTTATTTCTTAAACAAGACAGTATAACAATATTTACATAGCATCTACATTGTATTAGGTACATAAATAACCTAGAGATGATTTAAAGAATATAGAAGGGTATATGTAGGTTCTTTACAAATACTATGTTATTTATATAAGGGTGTTGAGCATCCTCAGATTTTGGTACCTGAGAAGGGTCCGGGAATCAATCCAACCCCCAAACCCCACCCCTCGCCTCCGACCCCAGATATCAAGGGATGACTGACTGTATTCACAAAGCCTGGGTAAAAGTCACAATTAGCTATGGTTTTACCACGTCTGTCCCCCAGTAATAGAAGGGTAATAAATGAAGGCTGTCTTGCTCTAACCAGGAATAGTGGAAAACACTGGGCCATGCATGACTTCATTTACCAGCTCCAATACTTTGGGGAATAAACTCTGCTTCCCCTGTTCTGTAAAAGAAGACCAAGAGCTCTCCTCACAGGAATGTTGGGAGGCTTAAATAAGATACTGCATTTTAAAGAACTTTGTAGCCCAGCTGGTGGGGCTCAGCAGTTGAGCATCGATCCATGCAGCAAGAGGTCACCAGTTTGATTCCCGGTCAGGGCACATGCCCAGGTTGTGGGCCTAATCCTCAGTGGGGGGCATGCAGGAGGCGGCCAGTCGATGTTCTCTCTCATCGATGTTTCTATCTGTTCTCTCTCGTTGATGTTTCTATCTTTCTCCTTCCCCCTTCCTCTCTAAAATCAACAACGAAAAAAATAAAAAAGAACTTTGTAAACCTTTAAGTACTAGTCACTTAGTTTTACAATGTGAGGAAAATTCATAAACTTTATGAATGATTTGCCCTATTTTTTCTTTTTATATTTTAGAAGCAAAAAAAAGAAATCAGCTGGAAGAAGTGGGCATAGAGATCTATAGATCCCAAACGCCGTTTATTAGTGTCAGTAATAACACCTATCATTGTGCGCCAGGCATGGTTAGAACCATTACATCTAGTATCTTTTACTCTCAGAACATTCCAACAATGTGCTATTACCCCTATTTTATTCGTTTTTAAAATATTTTTCCTTTATTGATTTTTAGAGAGAGGAAAGGAGAGAGAGCGCACCTGAGAGAGAGAAACATCGATGGGCCTGAAACACCAATCAGAAAGAATATATGTACCCCTATGTTCATAGCAGCACTATTTATAATAGCTAAGATCTGGAAACAACCCAAGTGTCCATCAGTAGATGACTGGATAAAAAACCTGTGGTACATGTACACGATGGAATACTATGCAGCTGTAAGTAAGAAAGATCTCTTATCCTTTGAGATGACATGGAGGGACCTAGAGAGTATTATGCTAAGCGAAACAAGCCAAGCAGAGAAAGACAAATATCACATGATCTCACTTATTTGTAGAATATAATGAACAAACTGATTAACAAAATTGACCCAAAGACATAGAGGTGGGGTACAGACCGACAAACCTCAGAGGAGGGGATGTTGGGCAAGGGGAGATAAGCCACAGAACTTACATGCATGTATGCATGACCAATGGACATAGACAACAAAGCTGGGGATGGGGAGGAAGGTGTCAATGGGGGAAAAAGGAGAAACATCTGTAAGAAAAACGAATGAATGATAATTTAAAAAAAAACCTTGAGGAAAGAGAATACTGATTGGCCACCTCCTGCATGCCTCCACTGAGGATTGGGCCCACAACCTGGGCATGTGCCCTGACCGGGAATTGAACCTGTCACCTCTTGGTGCATGGGTCAAAGCTCAACCACTGAGCCACACCAACCAGGCTAGAAAAAAGTACTTTAAAATGTAAACTAGATCAACCTCGTGGGCAGCCTGCTACCACTTCAACAGCAGACACACGGTGCTTCCCCACAGGTGTTCCTAGACAGAGGCCTCACCAAGCAAGCCAGCATCAACCTGGTGGATTTAGCAGGAAGTGAAAGGCAGAAATCTTCAGGGTCCGAAGGAGACAGACTGCGGGAAGGATCACGAGTGAACTTAAGTTTAACCAGTTTAGGAAATGTCATCAGGTAAATACTCAGTGAACAGGTATTTATTTGTGCCATAAAAATGACCTCAAATATCAGATTAGATTAATCATGTCTTGGTTCACGACTCACTGTCATCATTGGCCAGTTTTTTTAAACTAGTTAATTGCTTTTTAATATTTATTTTTTTAATCCTCACCTGAGGGTGTTTTTCTATTTATCTTCAGATAGAGTGGAAGGGAGGGAGAGAGAAAGAGAGAAACACTGACATGAGAGAGACACATCGACTGGTTGCCTCCCATATGACCCCAGCCAGGGCCGGGAAATGAACCACAACCAAGGTATATGCCCTTGACTGGAATCGAACCTTCGACTCATTGGTCCATGGGCCGACACTCTAACCGCTGAGCCAAATTGGCCAGGGTTAGTTAACTGTTTATTAATAAAATGAACACTAATAAAGCCACCATCTGACCCAAGAAATAGTTGGTGCTGCTTTTCTTGGAGGTAACCACCATCTTTAAGTTGATATTTATCTTCTCTCTGTCCCTCCCTCCCTCCCTTCTTTCTTTCATCATTTCTTGTGATTATTATTTAGTAGCACTCATTTTTCAACTTTATAAAAAGGACTATAAATTATATTGTCTTCTGGATTATGCTTTTTACAGTTAAGGTATAAATTACATAAAGTGCACAGATTTAAAATGTTCAGCTTAATGAATTTATATGTACATATCTATTTAATTACCACCCATATGAAGATGTAGAATATTTCTTAAATCAACAAACAACAAGTGCTGGTGAGGATGTGGAGAAAAGGGAACCCTCGTGCACTATTGGTGGGAACGCAAACTGGTGCAGTATAATGGAAAACAGTATAAAGTTTCCTCAAAAATTAAACATGAAACTGCTTTATGACCTAGCAATTCCACTTCTGGGTATATAGTGAAGAAACTGAAAACACTAATTTGAAAGAATATATACACCCCTATGTTCATTACAGTGGTATTTACAATAGCCAAGACATGAAAGCAATCCAAGGGCTCACCAACAGTCGAGTGGATTAAAAAAGCAGTGGAGCAGCCCTGGCCGGTTTGGCTCAGCGGTTAGAGAGTTGGCCTGCGGTCCCTAGGTACCTGGGTTTGGTTCCCGCTAAGGGCATGTGTCTCGGTTGCAGTTTGTCCCCGGCTCTGGTTGGGTCATGTGGGTGGCAGCCACTCGATGTGTCTCTTTCATATCAATGTTTCTCTCTCTCCCTCCAACTCTATCTGAACAAAAAATGGAAAAACGTCCTTGAAGAGGATAAAAAAAAAAAAGGTGTCCCAGCGATTGGATGTTATTCGGAGTCATGTCTCAGATCTGAGAGTCAAGAGGGATGTGAGACCCCCGTTCTGACTTGTGCCCAGGGAGGCAGTTCTGCCTGACACGGGTTTGTAACGTGTTGCTTTGTGCTCTTTGCTTTCAGCGCTCTGGCCGCTGCAGCCGCGGGGGAGAGAGTCCTGCACATCCCCTACCGGGACTCCGTCCTGACCAAGCTGCTCCGGGCCGCCCTGGGCGGGAACAGCCGGACGGCCGTGGTAATGACGTCCCGACAGTCCTTACAGCTCTCAGCCGCCAGGACAGCACTCTGCGCGCTCTTACCTGCTACCTCCTGACCCCGGGGAGCTCTTCCCCTAGTGTTCAAGAAACTTCCACATCGCTCACTTTAATCTTTTATTTCTTTCTGTGGTTTCCAGGTTCTCTACATGGAACACATATCACGTTTATTACCAGGAAATAATGACCCGATGTGAAAAATGACAGTGTCATATTGTCCTGAGTCAGGGGTCATTTCACTGCAGGATGGGCGATGAGTTGGCCGAGACTCGCGGGGGAGGCTCCCTCTCCAGAGGGGCTGAACCGTGGGGTCTCAGGCTCCAGGCTCTCATTACTGAGTGCTGGCCAAGTGGGTGCAAGGTGGAACGTGTTAAAGTTAGGGTGCAGGAGGGGTAAAAACTGGGCAACCTCTGCCTCCAGCCTTGCCCTGGCCCCCAGCCCTGTCCTGATTAGGAGACAAATGCTTACCACTGGGACCTGCTCCAGGCTTCTCTCTAGAATGTGCAGGAAAGCATATCCTACTCTCTCATTTAATCTTGCCTGTTTTAAAATATATCAGTTTAAAGTTTTTCTGGTTGTCAGTACCTGTGGTCTCCATGGGACATCCTCCAAGAATCTGGACTAAAAGGTGGCCCATAAGAGGCTGTCTGAATGGTAGACTACAAATTGAACCCAATGGGTCCGAGCAGACGTGTGCACAGTCCCGTGAGGGAGGGGACACCTCTAGACCCCAGCCCAGGCCCTGCTGCGGCATTACACCACTTTCACAAAACGTGGTGGGTAGGAGACCCTGGGTCACTCCGGAGGCAAAAGGAAGAGGGGAACTGCAAAGCCAACAACATCCAAGCTCTGGAAGCTCTAAGGCTCCAATCCCAGTTTCAGCACACATTTTTTTCATTCCTCAAGCAGAGCATTCACCTGAAAATGCAGACGGTCCCTGACTTACAATTGTGACTAAGTTTTAGCTTAGGCAGTCGGTAGAAAATACTTCGAAGTATGAATTTTGATCTTTTCCTGGGCCCTGATGTGCAGGACACATGAAGCTGGGCAGGGAGCTGCAGCTCCGTCAGCCGTGCGGCCACGAGGGGCCGCACCCAGCGCTGTGCTGCATTGTTCTGCAGATTGTGTCTTGTGTTTTCACATCCCATCATGTTTACAAACGCCTGCTTGTGTCTCCTGCTTCTGGAGGGCAGAGGAGGAGGAAGGCAGTGACCCTTGAGATGAAACTCAAGATAACTGCCCAACTCCAGGCTCATGTCCGTGTTCTGAGCACGTTTAGGATGGGTTGGGCTGTGATGTTCGGTAGGTTGGGTGTATTAAAGGCATTTTCAACTGACAATGCGTTTCTCAGGCTGTTAACTCCATCGTGAGTCAGGAGCATCTGTACTGCTGTGCTGATTAAATGAGGTGTAAAAATAAACAAACCGTCAAGTTACAAAGCCAAACGAAGGATTCTACACCAGGCCTCCAGGTCACATATCACCGGTCACCACACGGCAGTCACATTTCCTCCTGTTCACCCTCAGTGACCCCGCCCACCTCCAGTTCATCACAAAGTTTTTTCTCATTTAAATTCTAGAGCAATTAATCCAAAGTCAATAGCCAGACTTGAAACCCTACAAATGGCTACCCAGTCATGAGCAACGTCCATTGGTCTCTGTACTGCTAACGTTCAACTGTCATTTAAACCCGGAGTAAATGTGCGGGGACCCCCTGAAGGCAGTGGGGTGAGAGGTCCGCAGCACAGGTTCAAGTTCATCAGGGCTAGTTCAAGTCCCAGCTCTGCCAGTTAGTGCCTGGGTGACCATTTGCACTGCTTTTCTCTAAGCCTCAGTTTCCTGAGTTGTCAAGTTTGAACAATCCTGTAAATTACATGATGTTCTATGAATATTACTATGTAAGATGCACAATAAAGCCTACATAAAAGAAACCTGAAAGTGATTTTTTTTTTTTACAGTTAGCAGCCGTAAGTCCGGCTGACATCTGCTATGAGGAAACGCTATCAACATTAAGATATGCTGAAAGGTACGTTTATGAATATTCATTACCTAGATGGTGCTACGTGCTAAATCTGGCAAACTCTTCTAGTACCCTTAATGGCATTTTGGAAAGGGGTCTATGAGAAGGAAGATGAAATGATTCATAAGAGAAGAGGGAGAAGAAATAAAACAAGAGGAAATAGAATTGGGGACTCGGGGCCCCCTTGTGCCTGTCATCTGTCACTCCGGTTCTGGGTGGGGGAGGAACCGGGGTTCAAATCCACTGGAGGAAGCATGGATGCCAATCCTGAATCAGTTATCTGTCTCCCTGCAGTTTCCTTCCAAACAGCGTGCAATCTGCAGTCGCGTGGGGTGAAGGGCTCCCACTTTTCCCTTTGCGATCAGCGCCTGCCCAGTGCGGAGCGGTCTGGGGCCTGAGTGTGTTTTCCTCTTTGCACTTGAAAGGGCTAAAAAGGTCCGGAACAAAGCTGTGGTCAACACCTCCACACTGATGCGAGAGTCAAGGGCGGAGACCAGCGAACTGCTGCTCAGAGGTGGAGACTTCAGAATGGCAGGTAAACCGAGTCAGGAGTCAACACGGGGGCCAAGCCAGCAGCCAGAGCGCGCCCCAGGGGGCCTTGCCCAGGACAGCTTGGCCCTGACTTTCAAAAACACCATTTTGAGACAAAAGTAGACCCACATGCAATTGTAAGCAATGATGTCCCTGCCCTTCAGATGGCCCTGTTAGGCTATTTTATTGCCTTTTTTGAGTCCATTGCTTCTACTTTTTCCTTACCAGAGTTGGACCGAGGCCATTTGATGTTCATTCTGTTGATGGCCTTATGTCAGGTGATGTTTCCATGATGTTTGAAGCTCTCCCAGGGCGGCTCAGCCCTTGGCCGTGCATTCGAGTCACCTGCGGGCAGCACGGGCCTTGAGTGCCCCAGGTGACCCCGCTGTGCAATTAGCCAGAACCGCAGCTGCGAGTTAAGGCCCTGGCTTTTGGATTGGCAGCATGGAGGTATATGTAAGCTGAGGCCCATTGATTTAGAAGGAGATGGGTAGAAGAGGCAAAATATAAAACCAGGCAAAAGCGTTCAGCATTAAAACGGTGTTACCGTGAGTCCAAAACCTCATGTACCCAGTGCTCAGGCCAGTCACTGCCCTGCCCTCCACACCTAGCGCATCCTCCGGCGGGGCTCCCTTGCTCCAGAGGGACCATCTGGTCGCGGCAGGGCTACTGACCACCGAACACAGACCTGCACACGCGGGCACAACCCTCCCCTCACACTGAAGGCTGCCTTCACGGCAAGCTCAGTGGGCAGGTGGGCCCCACCTGACACACCTCTGGGTCCCCACATCCTGACTCACTAAGACTTCAGCCCCAACAAATCACATACTAAATTCCATCCGGTGCCTAGCCTGGTCCAGGCACGGCTGTGCTTGGTCACAGGTCTCTCTGCCATCAAAAAACAGACATGCTTGACCTAGATGTAGCATCTAATTCATTGTTCATCAGCACAGGCACAGACCCATGAAAATATAGGATAGTCATTCTTCCTGGATCCTCTGGCCCAGGAGGAATTCCCGTGACCGTGGTATCAAACGAACACTTTCACATGCCAACACGAATAAAAAACCAGAACATGGAGTTTCATGCCTCTTCCCACAAGGACCTCCTTGCTCTTGAATTAAAAGGTGATCGTACTTTGCAGAACTTACCAAGTGATTTTCTCTTCACACGTCTGTGCAGGTGTCCCCCGCTCCTGCCCACAGTCCCGGCTTTTGACTGGGAAGGAGACTGACTGTAGCCTCACAGTTCCCAACCTGTTTAAATACCTCCCTCCCTCCAGAACAGCCAGCCTACTTGCTGGCAGAACAGGCGCTCGGGCCTCATAGTCATCAGCTGACCTGGGCGCACCAGCTGGAGCAGGCTCGGCAGGAATGGCAGCGGCAGCACGTGGCCACTGCCCAGGTGAGCTTCACCGCCTGCACCTGCGGAGGCCGGCCGGTCGGGGAGTGCAGCCCGGCCCGCAGCCAGACATACACGCCGGCTGCGCAGCTGTCGGCCAGGCGGGTGACTGCGGTGAAGGGGTAGCAGGTGACATGTGACTTACAACTGTATTCTCGGCAGAGTCAGGGGAGAGAAGGGCATGAAGGGGGCGGGAGCACAGAGGCCTTGCTGCATGTTGAGGAGTGAGTCTGAGGATGGAGTTCAAGCTTGCTGATAATTAGAATTTGGGGAATTTGAGGAAACTGAGTTGTCTCCTGGGGCCACACGGTGCCTCTGAACCATGCTATGTATCCTGGCATTCACTGCCGATACCGGATTAGAAATGGGCTGCGATGTGAACTTCGTACGTGGGTCAGGGAGATGCCCTCTCTGCCTCCTGTCAACACCACACCCCCACTATGACCTTACTCCCCAGCTACAGGCTCTGAACAAATCCCAGTCATGGGCCAGACTTGGAACACTTCAGGAGTGGTGGGAGGGAACAGGTCTGGCTTTGAAAGGCTTGCAAAGCCCAGAATAGACGTGAGCCTCTGGTGGTGCGAGGGGAGTGGGTGGAGGTGTGTTGCATCAGGAGGTCCAGTCAAGTCAGGATCCACAGATTCTAGGGGTATGGGTACAACATGGGGTGCACACAGCAGCCAAGTGCAGAGTTAAAATGACCGTCCACGTAAGGGGTAGCTGAGTTTTTTCCTCTAAGCTGCGAGGCTCAGTGGAAGTCAGAGTGCAAGAACACGGGATTTTGTGTTCTGCGTGGACTGTAAAACAGAACTTTTACCCTCTTTACTTTCTATCAGAACTTCAGGATTCAGCAGCTCTCCTCGCGCCTGGATCATTTATCCCAGTTCTGTCTGACTATTACCCTCCATACGAGCAATACCAGTTAATCAATCCTGTAGTCAAAAATGACATGCATTTAGGTCACCAGGAGGGGGCAGTGCAACAGGCCACGTCGCCATCAACCTCTGGCAGCAGGACTCGGGGGAAGAGGTTTGGGTAGCAGGTTAAGTGGAGACCCAGGGAAGGATTATCCAGGTTGGGGACCAGAGGGGACTCCTGGGGATACCAGGAGCCTGAAGGAAATGGCGGAGATCAAATCAAAGTGGAGGGGACAATCGAGGGGACGTTGGGGAGGGGGAGAGAGTCGGAAACTGGCTATGCTTTGGAACGGCCCTGTCCGGATGAACTGGGCCCCCGAAGGCTGGCCTCTGTCGGTCTAACCTGCTGGGAAGGAAGCCCCAGCCCCACTGGGCTTCCTCCTCTTGGTTTGCTTCTCCGATTGATTCGACAGAAAGCACAGACAGATGGCCTCGATGAGAAGTGGACAGGAAAGGAGCATTGCTCTCTTGAGCTGTGTGGTGACCAGGAGCCTCCCCATGTCTCTTCCAGGAGCGGCAGATGCTGAAGACCCTGCCTCACCTCCTCAATGTCAACGAGGACCCGCAGCTCAGTGGGGTCCTCAAGTACTCCATTCAGGCTGGTACTCACCCCGCAGACCCGCCCTCCGCTAACGCTAACGAGCATGCTTCCTTTCTCCTTTCCTTGTTGTGGTAAAATATGCATCACAGAACATTCACCATGTTAGCATTTGTAGGTATGTAGCTCAGTGGCATTAAGAAACATCCACGTGGTTGTGAACCGTCACCCCCACCCATCTCCAGAACTTTATCATCTTCCCAAACTGAACCGCTGCACCCACTAAACCAACCTTAACTCCCCCCTTTCCCCCAGCCCCTGGCAGCCACCATTCTTCTGTCTATGGCTCTGACGACTCAAGAGACCTCATATAAGTGGAATCTACAGTATTTGTCTTGTGACCGGCGTGTTTCACTGAGCATCACGTCCTCAAGGGTCCTCCGAGTCATAGCCTGTGCCAGAGCAGCCTTCTCTAAAGGCGAATCATCTGCACTGGGATGTGTGTGCCCATTGGAAGGCGGCACCAGACTGAAGTGGCATCTAGCTTCCTGGTCCTAGCCCTGTGGGCCCCCGAGACAGGACAGGGCTCATGCAGGCTGGCAGAGGGGGCCGGCAGGAGGGGCGGCCCCCAGGAGGTCTGGAGTGGTGCTCTCAGCACTGGGCCGAAGCAGGACCTGCCCTGTGGCCAGGCTCCAGTGCGTGTCCTAAGGCCCAGACTGGACAGCTTCTTCCCCCGGGATTCCTATGAGGAAGGAGGAACGTCTAAAAAGTTAGGAACCCCCCACGCACACACACACACACAAAAGGCAGTACCATTCTGATTAAAAATCCCAGTGGGGCCCTGGCCGGTTTGGCTCAGCGGTTAGAGAGTCGGTCTGCGGTCCAGAGAGACCAGAGTTCGGTTCCCACTAAGGGCATGTACCTCGGTTGCAGTTTGTCCCGGCCCTGGTTGGGTCATGTGGATGGCAGCCACTCGATGTGTCCCTTTCACGTCGATGTTTCTCTCTCTCCCTCTCCCTCCCTCTCTATCTGAACAACAACAACAAAAAAATGTGAAAATAGCCCGGCTGGTGTGGCGCAGTGGTTGAGCGTCGACCCATGCACCAAGAGGTCACCAGTTCGATTCCCACTCAGGGCACATGCCCCGGTTGTGGGCCAGGCTCCCAGTGCGGGGCAGGCCGGAGGCAGCTAGTCAGTATTCTCTCTCATCAATGTTTCTATCTCTCTCTCCCTCTCCCTTTCTGTCTCTCTAAAAATCAATAAAGAAAAAACTTTTTTAAAAAATGTGAAAATAGTTATACTAACTCTTCTCAGGTTCATGTGATGCTGGTCGGGCTGCTTCCAACGCCATCCCTCTTCAAGGCCTGGGGTAAGCTTACACGAGCTGTCTTTGTCCGGCTTTGGAGAACTGTGACTGGTCTGGAGGGAGTGTACCCAGTCGTCAGGCCGGCCCCAGTCCTGCCGGACCCCCGAGAACACGAAATGCCAGCCCTTCCCCCCGCCTGGCCGGAGCGTTCAGAATCCGGCTTCGGGAGGCTTCCTTGCCTCTCACCGCACTCCCTCCTCTGCGCCTTGTGTCCTTGGCCCTGATCCTGGGAGAAGAGGGAAGGTCAGCCGCCAGACTCTCTCTGACACGGGGTCACAATAGACAAAGTGGGTCTGGCCAGGAGATGAAGGGAGTGGAAAGGACTGCAGGCCTGTCGTGGTCACCGCCCAAAGCAGCAGCTTGGATGCTGGGAGGTGATGTCCTCCCCAAGGGTGCCCTCAGGATGTCCTATGGGACCCCGTGCAGCCCTGTGGCAGGTTTCATGAGCTCAGAGCTGCCCCCCTCTCTGTAGCTTCTCTACGAGGGCGGGGGGCTCTGCTCTGGGGTTCCCACTCCTTCCAGGACCACTGAGTCCTGGACTGTCCCCTGATTTCTAGCCAATAGTCTTGATTGGCTCTTACAGAGAGAGGCCCACTGACTGCCCCCAGCCCCACTACCTCCTGAGCCGAAGCATGGGTGCCCGGAGGGGTGGGGGATCGGTGCTGACTGAGGGGCAGGTTGGCACCTCCTCCCCCTGCAGTGCCAGCCTCCGGGCCCTTCCTCCTGATTCTTCTGGAGGTCCCCTCATCTCCCTTCCCAGACCACTTCCTGCGGGGACCTGTAGTCCCGCACACAGGGTTGTGAGTGGCTAAACTTTCCCTCAGGACCCCTGCACCCCAAGCAAACAAGGGCTATGGATGGACAAGCACCTCAACATCTAGAACATTCCATGACAGCCAAGGTGTCCAGAAACATTCTAGAACAGTCAGGGAGCTGGCCATTCAGGGCACACAGATGACATCCGGGGCAGCTAATCTGACCCCTCTGATATCCAGCCCCAAATCTTGTAACAGAGAGTTTGGGTTTGTATCATAAAGGCTCAGAAACAGATCCAAGCGCCTGTGACCTGTGGGATCATCATTAGTTCCCTTGCCAAGCGCCTCTTCTGAAACATCTTTGCTTTCTTTCCCCCCACTCAGTCCCACCAGCCTGGGAGGTGCGGAGGACTGGAGCTCTGACCCCTGTGTGTGTCTTCTGGCTCCTTGCACCCGCCATCCCATCGGCACTCAGTTGGTAGCAGTTCTGTTAGCATAAGAATTGCTTAGTTGTCTCCCAACTCAGTGTGCAAGGGCCCTGTGAACCTGCTCCTTTATCTCCACCCACAGAGCCCCGCAAATGCTTTGAGCCCCTCCTGTGCAGCTGGGGAGTCCTAAGTGTGCACATGAGAAGGTGCAACCTAAACTGTTTACTAAATCATACTTTTTTGGTCACTTAGACAAACTCTTGTCTCTTTAGAATTTCAGATAAACATGCTTCCTTCACAAATTTGGATGGTAAAGTGACAGTCACCCCACACAGCAAATGCAAGGTTGTCGTTAACGGGGTGCCCATCACAACCAAGACGAAGCTGCAGCATTTGGTAAGCTTTGGTGCTGGGCTGCAGGATTTCCCAAGTCCGACCAGAAAGAGTGTTAGAGGCGGGACTGGGTAGGGCTGGGGGCTCACTACCTCGTGTCCCTCTGCTACCGTAACACGATAATGACATTGGTCACAGCTGTGGTGTTGGGAGATGGGAAATTGACTTGCTGTGTGTTCTTGGGAAGTCACTTCTCTTCCCTGAATCTCGTCTATGAAACAGAGAGGGGTGAACTAAATGATCGCCAAGACCGCACCCAACTCTAACATTTTATGACATTTGGATTTTTAAAGCCTGCTGTTGGGAGGACCTGCGCTGCAACTTGCAAGCACCGGGCTCTCCATCTGCTCCCCACCACCCCAGCCGAGTGCCCAGCACCACAGGGCTCTTCCAGCTTCCCGACTAGCCAGCCCCCTCTCCATCCCATTCTCCACACTGGAGCCAGAGCCTTTTAGACAAGCAAATTGAATTAGGCCACCCCCTTCTGGAAATCCTCCGTCACAGCCCTTTTAGGACACCTGCTCCCCTCTCCCCGCCTCCTCCAGCCTCATGGTTCTGCGTGTGTTTCCTCTGGTCACACTTTTGGTTGCTCAAAACATCCTAGGCCCTCTTCTGCAGCAGCCTTCTCTGCCTCCCCCAAACTTCCCACCCTTGATGTCTCACCTTGAACAGTACACCTTAGAAGAGAACTTCTCTAATCCCCAGTGTGAGCAAAGCCCCCTTGCACACTCTGCAGAAGCCCCACCCCTCTCCTTCAAGCATCTCTCACAGGTTATTAATTACATCATTAGTCTATAAAGTCCTGCAAAGATGGGTTGGGTCTGTTTGGTCCCCACTGATTCCCAGTGCCTGATGGAGCTGCATCACTGAGCTGCATGTGGAATAAAGGAAGAAACAAATGAAAGCATGCACACAATAATTAGTAAGATGCCACCTCTCCCCTCCTCATTATAGATGTCTTCCCACAGCTGGGTTGGTTGCAGGGCCTTGGCCCTCCTAAAGCAGGCTGACCTCACCTTCTCTGGCCTCCAGAGGGAGGATCATGTGAGGTCAGCATCCTCCCTCTGAGCTGAACTTCTCTTCCCTAGGACCGAATTATTTTGGGATCCAACAGTGCCTACCTCTACATCGGGTTTCCTTCAGAGAGAGGCAGTGAGGACTGGAGCCGGTTTGATTACGACTTTTTCCAGCTGGAAAGAGCAGCTGCCGAGGGAGTGAGTGTGGACAAGATTGGTGAGCAGCCTGGGCCCCAAGTTCTGGTATTTTTCATGGACCAATCTGACAGCAACTGCTTTCACTGTGTGCTCTCCTGCTTTCTTAAAGAAAACAACCTTTTGCCCTGGCCGGTTTGGCTCAGCAGTTGGAGCGTCGGCCTGCGGTACAAAGAGACCCGGGTTCGGTTCCCGCTAAGGGCACGTACCTCGGTTGCAGTTTGTCCCCGGCCCTGGTTGGTCGTGCGGGTGGCAGCCACTCGATGTGTCCCTTCACATCGATGTTTCTCTCTCTCTCTCTTCCTCTCTCTCCCTCCCGCTCTATCTGAACAAAAAATGGAAAATGTCCTTGGGTGAGGATAAAAAAAAAAAAAAAGAAAACAACCTTTTGTTGTGTCAAACTACAGCGTTTAGAAAGTTATAATTTCCATACAAATATAGAGTGAGCACATGTGAAAGATTTAATTCCTTAAATTGTTTATCTTGTGAATGGGGGTAAAGGTGTTTCGGAGAAATAGAGAGGAAGGTGGTTTGTACAGCACGTGGAGGGAGGAAGGCTGAACCGAGACTGCTGAATTAGACGCAGCTAATTAATGGTCTTCAGGGCACTGATCTTCCACTGGACAAAGGTCATTTTAATTGGCCAACCTACAAGTTAGTATCTAATAGCTCAGAGTTCAGGGCCTCATCAACAGTAAGGAGTAACTATACAATGCTACTTTCCCTTGGAGAATTAGAGTCCTCACACCAGGCTCTGCTATGACATTTAAAGGACATTCTTTTGCCCTATTTCCCTGTTTTAGATGGTTTTCCTTGACATCTCTCTCTCTGCAATTGAAACCTTTTCTTCCGTGGTCATGGCGTGGCTCTGTCTGGGGCACAATTCCACGGCATCTTGGCCAGGAAGTCAGCAGCTGTCAGTCAGCCTGCCCTCCGTGCTCGGACACGTTCTGCCTTCGTTCCCTGGAGCCTCTTGCGGGGGGGGGGGGGGGGAGGGGGGGGCGGCGGGAGGGGCGGCACTTGTGGATAATTCTTAATTTCGAAACAATTCTTGAAATGTACAGAAAAGTTTCAAAGGAATGCATGGAACTCTCATATACCATTCAGAATTCCAGTTTAAACATTTTACTCTATTTGCTTTATTATATGTATATACAGATACATGTATATATGTAATATTTTTCTGGACTATTTGAGAATAAATTGCAGACATGATGCTTTTGTATCCATAAATGCTTCATTGTATATTTCCTAAAGTAAAGGACATTCTTTTACAGTATAATTATCAAAATCAGAAAATTAACATTGATACAATGCAATGATCTAATCTATGAACATTGCTCCTACTTAACTAATTGTTTCAATAATGTCCTTTATATGACTAAATTCAGGTCCGGGGTCCAGTCCAGGACCTCATGTTGCATCTAGTCATGTCTCTTGGTCTCCTTAAATGTGGTACAGTCATCAGGTCTGTCTTGGTTTTTTATGACCTTGACATTTTTGAGGAGTTAAGACAGTTGTTCTGTATAATGTTCCTTAGTTGAGGTTTTCACACTGTTTCCCCGTAGTTGGATAGAGGTTACAGGTTTTGGCCAAGAATACCACAAAAACGCTATGTGTCCTTTTCTGTGCCTCACATCAGGAGGCAAATGGTGTCAGATTGTCCATTATTGCTGATGTTGACTGTGGTCACTTGGTTAAGGTGGTATCTGCCAGGTTTCTCCACTTCAAGTTACTAATTCTATCTTTCTAATTAATAAATATTTTATGAGGAAAACTTTGATATGTAGACATCCTATTCTTCATCACACTTCCATCCACTAGTTTCATCATCCTCTGGTCATTCTTTTTTTTTTTTTATCCTCACCCAAGGGCACTTTTTCGTTTTTTTTGTTGTTGTTGTTCAGATAGAGTGGGAGGGAGAGAGAGAGAGAGAAACATCAATGTGAAAGGGACACATCGAATGGCCGCCACCCACACAACCCAACCAGGGACGGGGACAAACTGCAACTGAGGTACATGCCCTTAGCGGGGACCGAACCCGGGTCTCTCAAGACCGCAGTCTGACACTCTAACCGCTGAGCCAAACCAACCAGGGCTCCTCTGCTCCTCTTGGATTTTTTTTTTTTTTTTTTAACCTCACCCGAGGACATTCTTCCATTTTTTGTTCAGATAGAGTGGGAGGGAGAGAGAGGAAGAGAGAGAGAGAGAAACATCGACGTGAAGGGAGACATCGAGTGGCTGCCACCCGCACGACCAACCAGGGCCGGGGACAAACTGCAATCGAGGCATGCGCCCCCAGCGGAAACTGAACCCGGGTCTCTCTGTACTGCAGGCCGGCGCTCCAACCGCTGAGCCAAACCGGCCAGGGCTCCTCTTGGATTATTATTATGATGTTTGTCAAATGGTGAATTTCCAGCTCCCCCATTTCTTTGAAAAATTTTTACTATAAGAAAGATGTTTTTTTCTCCTATTTATTTGCTTATTTATTTTTTGGTGGTAGGTGCCCCTACCGGGGGCCGAACCTGGGACACTCTGATCTGCAGGCCAACGCTCAACTGCTGAGCCTGCTGAGCCAAACTGGCCAAGGCAAGAAATCTCTCTCTTTTTTTTATCCTCACGCAAGGATATTTTTCCATTTTTTGTTCAGATAGAGTGGGAGGGAGAGAGAGGAAAAGAGAGAGAGAAAAACATCAACGTGAAAGGGACACATCGAGTGGCTGCCACCCGCATAACCAACCAGGGCCAGGGATAAACCACAACCGAGGTACGTGCCCTTATTGGGAACCGAACCCGGGTCTCTCTGGACCGTAGGCCGATGCTCTAACCGCTGAGCCAAACCGGCCAGGGCATGCTTATTTAATTCAATATAAACTCATAGAGTCCTGTTTTACTCGATGGGTATCATCTGTTGCTTTCGTAATTTATTTTAATATGTAAATTGTTTCTTCAGAACATTTATCACATTTTAAAATTATTCTATTAGTTCACTTAATTCTTATCTATGTATCCACATGAGAATGCAAGCTCTAACTTGGATTTTTTTCTCTTGCTCATCTGTTCATTTATCTTCTTCATTCAACAAGTATTTACTGAGCTCCTGCTATGTGCCCCACACGGCGCTAGTCTCAGGGACACAGCAGTGAGCAAAGCCATGCCCAGCCCTTATAGAGCTGACAGAGGCATGTTCACCCCCAAATTCCCAGAGCTGATAACACTGCCTGGCATGGGCCCTCAGTAAGTATTTGCTGAATAAGTCATGAATGAGATTAATCAAATCAGTCCCCACACAGAAGCTTAGTTATGAACACAAGCTGGATGAGGGTCCAAACGTGGGCACCCCCCCCCTCTGTTCTGTCTGAGAGCACCCCGCCCCTGGAGCCCCATGGCCTGAACATAAGGTCCTCCCAGGGAAGGGCAGGCCAGGACCTGTGCTCCTCACCCACCTCCTGCCCCACCCAGGAGCCTCCCGGGCTGACAGAAGCTGTGGCCCAACAGCCAGAGATGCCAACTGGGAGCCTGCCCCGGGCCGAAGAGATGGGCTGAACAACATCCAGGCCCTGGCCTAGGAAAAACTACAGCCCTCGGTTTTTGAGTCAAATGTGTCTCCTTCTCCTCTCATCCCCCTCAGCCCCACCAGTCACCTGGGATTCCTCACAGGCAAGAGCATTAGGAGCTCTCTTCCCTGGAGGCTCAGCGGGGGGCCCCCCCCCCGCCCCCTGCGGTGCTGCCGGCCCTGCCCGCAGGAGGGGCGTCCTGTGGGCCAGCACCTGCGCTCTCCTCCAGCACTCGGCTCTGCCTGGACGTGCTCAGGGGTGCGGAACGGTGGGGTGCACCCACGGCTGTGCACAACACTTCCTCCCTTTCCCCTACGCCAGAGTTTTTTTCCTCGGAATTTTAACAAAGTAAATTGATTTGAAATTTACCTCCTTACTCATTTTCTATTGAAGTTTCTGACCAAAACCAAATCACACCGTGCAGCACCAAGCCTGGAGACTCCATCTGTTCATGTATTATTTACAGGGTTGACTGCGCACCCGCCTCCCAAGCCAGGGCGAGGAGGTTGAACGAGCCCCAGACCCTGGGCTCAGGCGCTCGGCACCTCGTGAGGGCTGGGTCCTCAGCAAGGCAGCTGCTGGGCAGTGCTGGGGACTCAGACCTGAGAGCCAAGAGCACAGTGTGAACCCACGGGCAGGGAATCCCCGAACAGCTGACAGGTGCTCACATGGCAGCACCCCGCTGGTCTGGCAGGGGGATGGCTTCTCCCCCAATCTCCATGCTCCCCTCCGGGCCTCCCCAACAGGAGAGAAGTAAGAACAGGCTGCGTCCTGTATGAGCTGCAGCCTCAGGATAAACCCCAGCCCCCCTTTAGCCAACCTCCCTGGGCAGTCTGGAACCACCTTGGGTCAAGGACCCAAGAGAGCCTCCTGCCACCATGCTGCCAACGTGCGTGGTCGAGATGAGCAGCTGCTTCAGTAAAAGCCAGGCAGTGTTTCTCTCCCCACTTATTTAGTTGTTGTGTTTTTTAAAATCACATGCTTGTAATATTAAAATGTAGGTATTTGATGGACAATGGAATGAATGACTGGATAACCCAAGGAACATATCAGTTTCTTCACAGCCAAAAAGCACCGCGGACAAGAGCCTGACTGACTCATTCTGACTCCTTCCAGGCGCTGGGAGCGGCGGAGACGGGCAGGCAGACCCCAGCGTCCTGGCTGTGTTCCAGGACTACATCAAACTGATGCCGCTGCTTGCAGAAGCAAATCAGATGAGTGAGGAGCTGAAGAAGGTAAGAGCCAGAAGATGGTATAACGTCAGGTCCAGGAAGGACCTCGGAGGACAGGTCCAAGCCCCCTCACCCCCACTGCCCCCAACTGGCCTCGTGGTATAGATGAAGACACAGCGGTCTGGAGAGGTGACACAGAGGCTTTGCCCCAGACCCCACCGTGAGCTAGTGACAGAATCTCAGCCAACACCCAGGCGTTCCCAGGCCCAGCCCCTAGAGTCATTTCTTCCACGTCTGGCTGACCACGGCCACCACAGCTGCCAGGACGCCAGACCACATGTGCTCTCCACAACCACCCTCCCAGACTGTCCTCCTGCAGCCTCGGGCGGGCATCTGGGCAGCTTCTGTGCACAGAGAAGTCCTGGGTGGGGGTTAGCTCCCTGGTGGCATGGGGCCCTGATCATCAGGGAGCTCACCAGAGAGCTGAGCATTTTGGCAAGGCCTCGCAGTGTCCGTTCTAGGACATAGTTGAGGAATTCTGGTGCGTTGTCCTATCTCTTGGGAAGTCCAAGAAGCAAGTATTGGATCATCTTTTAGAAAGCCTGAGTGTAGAGAAAATAAAAAGAAGTGGCAGAGATACTAAAGACTGATAGATGTGGGATTATTTAGTAAGCAGTGTTTCTCTTTCCAGGGACTTAAAATGGAATTGAAAGTGAAGAATTTAGCATCATCAGATTCCAGGGGCTATGACCTACAAAAAGAGGTCATGGTGAAGGTGACCAACCAAAGCACTAGAGAGGTGAGGCTGCCTTTGGGGGTGGGCGTGAGCCTCCACAAGGGGGTTCTGAGGAACCTTCCTAGGGACAAGGTTCATTTTACCAGCTACCGTCAGTGGAGACCCGGCAAAGGGGTGACATATGTTCCGAGTGAGCTGGGATCTGGGGGACACTCTGGGGAGAGGAGAACCCTGCTCCATGTCTCCCTTCCTGCGCCCCTCTCCCACACAGCACCAAATCCTGGGACTTTCCTAACTGCCAGCATCAAGCACTGTCTGTGTATTTCTTTTTTTCCTTTTTTTTTTTGTTCAGGTAGAGTGGGAGGGAGAGAGAGGAACAGAGAGAGAGAGAAACATCGATGTGAAAGGGACACATCGAGTGGCTGCCACCCGCACGACTGACCAGGGCCGGGGACAAACTGCAACCGAGGTACATGTCCTTAGCAGGAACCGAACCCGGGTCTCTCAGGACCACAGGCCGATGCTCTAACCGCTGAGCCAAACTGGCCAGGGCTGTCTGTGTATTTCTAACGTGACTTTACTACCGGAAGTGGGCCTGAGAGTTTATCTAACTAAGTGTCCATGTGCATGTGGGTGGCATGTGCATGTGCACCTGGGTGTGTACATGCGAGAGACCTCCTCCTTCCTCCCCCTCCGCCCTCCTGGCCCTCCTGGCCCTCCTCGCTTTCCGCCCTCCTGGCCCTCCCTGACAGGGAAGAGCGGGCCTGACATTTGACCCTTGTGCGTGATGTTTTTGGAGCTGCCCTCTACCTCAATGCTCACTCCTTGGCCCATCTCAGAGGATGTGCCCCCAATTCTCAGGTGACCTTTGGGTGCGCTGTTCCCTTCCAAATCCTCAGCCCACACAAGTTTTAAATTGTGAAATGTGACACAGAGAGAAGACTATAACGGTATATGTTCGTGTTATACACCCGCATACTCACCATCCTGTTCAAGGGGTTTTACGCTTGTGCGGGGCCACCAAGATCACCGCTGGAGTTTAACTGGCCCCCAGGCTGTGAGCCCACAGGGAGCACCCTGAGTAAGGGCCACAACCAACCCCAAACTTTTTTTTTAATCCTCAATTTTTGCATATATCCTCAGATAGAGCAGGAGGGAGAAAGGAAGGAAGAGAGAGAGAAACATCAATGTGAGAGAGACACATTGACTGGTTGCCACACACACAACCCTAGACGGGGCCAGGGACAAACCACAACTGAGGTATGTGCCCTTAGCAGGAACTGAACCTGGGTCTCTCTGGTCTGTGAGCCAAACTGGCCAGGGCAAACCCCAAACTTCTGAGACTTTCCCTTTTCTATCTTGCTCTGATCAGCGCCAAGAGGGCCTCCTTTACGTGTCTTGGGACAGGAAAGGGGCACGTGTGTCTTCGTCCATGCAGGCTTCTCTAGCAGAACACCAAAGACAGAGCAGCTTCAACAACAAACGTTTCACCCAGGTCTGGTACTGGAAAGTCCAAGATCCAGGTGCCAGCTGACCCAGTGTCCGCTGAGAACCTTCGTCTTCGTTCCTAAGATGGCTGTCTTCTCGCTGTGTCCTCACGTGGTGGAAGGCACGGGAGTTTTTTGAGTTCTCTTTTATAAGGACACTAATCCCATTCATGAGGGCCCCACCCTCATGACCTAATCACTTCCCAGAGTCTCCACGTCCTAATACTATCACATGGCGGGGAACGTGTCAACATGTTGATTGGGGGACACAAACATTCAGCCTGTAGCAGCGCGTTTGATGCTGGCTCACCTCACACTCCCAGTGTAGTTCTGCCGTAAGACCCCCACCTGGGCATCAGTTTTGAGATGAATGTTACTGATCTGTCATCTTCAAGGTTGTCCCATTTTACCTTTTGAAAGAACCAGTGACCTTTTCTCAAACAAAGCCCCATCTTCCTCACGAACCCTCTGAAAGGCTAGTGGTCACTTCGGGTAGTTTCTAGGGACATTCCGTGTATGTGTGGTTGTGAAGGATACAAGACAGGAATGGTGGAGAGAGCAGTAGGGTCCAGGTGCAGACACAAGTGGCCCCTCTGGTGGTGGATCTGGTAAATGTTCACCCCCAGGCCACGTGGACCAGGGATGCCACCACACCTCTTGGGGGGAGATAGCATTGTCCCCAGGCAGTTTTGTGAAACTGTTGAGTCATACATGCCCTTTCCAGTTTGGCTCAGCGGCTAGAGAGTCGGCCTGTGGACCAAAGAGTCCTGGGTTTGATTCCCGCCAAGGGCATGTACCTCAGTTGCAGTTCATCCCCAGCCCCGGTTGGAGTTGTGTGGGTGGCAACCAATCGATGTGTCTCTCTCATATCGATGTTTCTCTCTCTTTCTCTCCCTCCCACTCTGTCTGAAGATAAATGTAAAAATATCCACCCTGGACGGTTAGTTTCAGCGGTTAGAGCGTCGACCTGCGGTCCAGAGAGACCCGGGTTTGGTGCCTGATAAAGGCATGTACCTCGGTTGCAGTTTGTCCTCGGCCCTGGTTGGGTCATGTGGGTGGCAGCCACTTGATGTGTCCCTTTCACGTCGATGTTTCTCTCTCTCTTCCTCTCTCTCCCTCCCACTCTATCTGAACAATAAATGGAAAGAATGTCCTCGGGTGAGGATACAAAAAAAGTATTCTTGGGTGAGGATAAAAAAAAAAAAAGATTGACACATTACAGGCAAGTTCGGGAGCAAGCCAGGTCACGTGAGGGCTGGGGAGGGTTTCCAGACTGGAAGTGCTGCCAGCTTGACGTTGCCCTCAGCAGTGCCTGTACAACAGCTAGTGCCTCGGGTGCAAGCACTTCCAGCCAGGGAGCCTGAGCCAGGCCTGCAGGTCCTCCGGCACAGGTGCCGCCGCCTGCCTGCAGAGCCTCGCTGTCCTGCTAAGGATAACACCAGTTTCATTGTCACATGGCCTGCGGTCTGATACCATAAGCAGACTGATTTCATTATCTGGATTCCCAGCATCTTAGTTCTCCAGCCGTTAAAACCCCACACTGACTAGAATCCCTGCTGTGCTCTGCTACCGGGATACATGCCACAGCCAGGTTCGCAGTCTCTAGGGCACCTCTGGGAGGGGTCTGTGTTCTCCCCTTCACTGGAGGCAAACAGAGAAAGAAGGAAGTCTGTCCAGTGTGTGGAGGAGGTCCATTTTATGAAGATACATAACACTGGAAAGGAGACTTATCTGTTAGTTGTTTTTTTTTAAACCCTCACTAGAGGATATTTTCCCATTGATTTTTAGAAAGAGTGGGAGGGAGAAGGAGGAGAGAGAGGGAGAGGGAGAGAGAGAAACACTGATGTGAGAGTGAAACATCGATTGGTTGCCTCTTGCACGACCCGAACTTGGGCCGGGGATTGAACCTGCAACCTGCAACTGAGGTACATGCCCTTGACCGGGAATCAAACCCGAGACTCTTTGGTTCGCAGGCCTGATGCTCTAACCACTGAGCAAAACCAGCCAGGGCTCTATTAGTTTTTTGTTGTTTTTCAGGTTGCTCAGAGAAGGAATTGCTAGTTTTACCTGGTAACCAATTTATGGTCAAGAAGTTTTCTATCAGGCAGGCTGGTGTGGCTCAGTGGTTGAGCATCAATCCATGCACTAAGAGGTCACCAGTTCGATTCCTAGTCAGGGCACATGCCAGGGTTGTGGGCTCGATCCCCAGTAGGGAGCGTGCAGGAGGCAGCCAATTTATGGTTCTCGCTCACATCAATGTTTCTATCTCTCCTTTTCCCTTTTTCTCTCTAAAAATCAATGTGTGTGTGTGTGTGTGTATTTTTTTTTAAAGGAATTTTCTATCTAACTGGAATCCCTTATCCTGAGGCTTAGGATTTTATCCTCTCTCTCAGTAGCCAGTGTCGATACAGAGGCCGTCCCTCACCTAGTGAAGGGCTATTGCCCTGGATTTCCCGCTCACTGGGTGCGAGCACATGTACTCCTAGCTCTGTAGGGAAGAGGCCCAACACAGATCTTCCCTGGTTAAAAGCAGGTGTCGGCGGGACTGCTTTGCTGTCTGGAGGCTCGAGGGAGAATCTGGTTGCCTTTTCAAGTTTCCAGAGGCCACCGGCATTCCATCCTCTGAGGCAGCCTCGCAGCATCTCTCTGACCCTCCTTTCTGCCTCCCTCTTCCGCATTTAAGGCCCATGTGACTATGCCGGGCCTACCTGGAAAATGCAAGCTAATCTCCCTATTTTAATTTTTTTTAAATCCTCATCTGAGGATATATTTCCATTTAGCTTCAGATAGAATATGAGGGAGAAAGAGAGAGAGAGAGAGAGAAACATCAATGTGAGAGGGACACATCAATTGGTTGCCGCCTGCACGACCCTGACTAGGGCCGGGGACCAAATCTCAACCGAGGTACATGCCCTTGACCAGAATCAAACCCACGACTCTCTGGTCTTTGGACCGACACTCTACTGCTGAGCCAAAATGGCCAGGACTAATTTCCCTATTTTAAGGTCAATTAATCAGCAAACTTAATTCCCCTTTGCCACATAAGGTAACATATTCATAGGTTCTGGAGATTGAGACATGGACATCTTTGAGGACCATTCTCCTATGTACCACAGCACCAAACCTTCATTTCTCCTGGGAGAGTTCTAACTCCTTCATCATCTCCTCTAAGTCAATTCCTGGGCTCCAGCAACTCCAGCAATGCTGACGTAATAGGTCAGGATTGAATATGGTGCTCTTGAAGGACCTCCCCAAAGCTGAGTCTGATGAGTGTTGTGTGGTCTTGGGTACCCAAACCCCAGCCCATCAGGGGGAGCATGCTGGGAAGAATCAGAAAAATAAACTGTCAGAACAGCAGACAAAATCAAATATGGGTGACCTACCTCTTTGTTTCCAGGTGTGGATTTGGTCGAAAGCCAAGTTTATCAATAGGAAATTCCTAATGGAGGAACTTTACCAGCGCTTTCTAGATGGAGAAGACAGCCACATCGCTCAGGAAGACGACCCTTTCTGGGATCCTGTCGAGGTCGTCCACTTGGGCTCAGCTCACATCTGGCTCCAGTCGCTGGCCTACTGCATGAAGCTGGAGGAGCAGGCGGAGTTTCTGAACTGCGACGGGCTGGAGGAGGCGGCGCTGCACATCCACATAACCCCCTGCACCCCGGCTGGACAGTGGGTATCTCCTCCTCCCCTTGGCCTAGTTCTGGGTCTGTTGTGGGGAGCAAACTCAAGCAAGCCTGGGTGCTCCTGGAGGGGGTGGTCAACTTGGTACCCCAAAGAGGTCATTTATGAGACAAACGAATGAGCTCATTCATTTATGATTTGACCTCATCAAACCTGATATTGGCCATGGCAACCAAATCAGCTGACCTGGAATATTTCAAACCTGTGCCCAGCAGCATTTAAGCAGCTCAGCACTGCCCTAGGGGTGCAAAGGAATGAGGGAGACATCCTGAAAAGAGGCAGGAGTAGGAGGAGGAACTTTGGATAAGAATCAAAGACCTGGGTTGGCTCCCCATGATGGGCACTCAGAATACAGTAGCCAAGTGTGGCACCTGTGAGGCCTGGCACCTCATGCAGTACAATCTTCCCCATGCTGGAGCCCCCCCCACCCCCCCACCCCCAGCTGGTGAGGCCCAAGAGCCAGAAGTTCACCCCTTCTCCATCCTTGGCACAGGCTCTGATCATTTTTTTGCTTCTTTTCTCAAGGTAGGGACTGAGGTATCTTTGTTTCCTTGTCTGGCCTCATTCTATGCTGTTATCAGCCCTTTCTGTGGGTACAGGCTTTGTTGGAACTTTACTCCACTACCTTGTACCCTCCTCTCAGGATATCTCATCTGTTTTCCCCCTCTAGGCCAAAGGCAATGTAAGCAGTTTTTACAAAAGTTAATCTCTTAGCGATTCTAAGCAAAGAGGCTGGCAGGAGTCTGGTCTGGGTGGGAGGGTCCTCATACACCCAGTGCGATCTTTTGCTCTTTGTGCAGAGGAAACAGCCTCAGGAAGGGAGCAGAGAACCACAAAGTCCTATGACTCAGAGACCACGATGACCTTCGGCTCATTGTCCTTCCTGGGACTCTAAGCAATTGTCTGGTCATTGGACTCTCAGGCCTCGAGGTCGCCCTATGATTGTATTTCCCATCATAAATCAGTACGGGGGAACTCTCGTTATAGGTGTCAGTCTGATGAGCAAGGTTGAGTGGGAGAGGTCCCCTGCGGGAAAGCTGTCCCAAGTGGTGCCTGAGCTTGTAGGCCTGGGGTCGACTGAAGAGTTCAGCAAGGAAAATGTATCTCATGAGGCTGCACCGGGCAGTCAGCTGGCTTTCTCTGGATGCAGCCCCTCCGTCCCATTGGGAACCTACCTGGACCTTCACTGCTAGGTCCACACCCACATCTGGGCACATATGGTATGAAGCTGTTACATTCCCGCCTCCTCCTGGAGAAGGTCCAGCATAGAGTGGGCTCTCGTTAAGTGTCTCTTGAATGAAGGAATTCTATAGCTGGTCATTTTAGCTTTTCTTCCTTCAGTGAACTTGGCCATCTCTTAAGGAGACTGTAATTCCCTTTGACATCACAACCCTAACCTCCGTGGGTCCAGCTAACCTCTGGTCAATGTGCACCTCTTCTGTTTCTAGAGCACGTGGTGAGGAGGACGTGGTTATCGACCCTTTGGAGCTGCTGGGAAAGAGGATGGATTTCCAGATTCGCATTGTGCGGTGCCTTGGTGCCAAGTGGCTAAAGGAAGACGCGGAGCGGGGCATTCAGATGGGGTACCCTCCTGCCCCTCAGAGCTGCTGTGCACAGACCACCCATGTTGTGGGCCCTGTGCGAGGGAGTCTTTCCTCAAGTTTTAAAAATGAGTTTATCATAAAATGTTCTTAAGTTTCTCTGCTTGCTCAGCCCCCAGATGACTATTTCCTGCGTTTAATAGCGAGAAAAGCCGCACGTCCCTCCAAGCCAGTGGACTGTGTGATCAATATGTCCTGATCCCTCTAAGTGACTGAAGTGGTAGAGTCAGAAATTGTGATGGTCAGAAAGAACATCCAGTAAAATGGTATTATCTAGGAAGAATGGTTGTTTTGCTTTTTACTTGGCTACAATATGCCAGAAGTACCAGATCTGCATAGACTAATTAGGCTAAAAGGATATTATTAAAAGATAAAGCAATAAAGGGAAATTTTGAGGAACAAAAACCACCACCTCAAATGGAGAATGAATTTTTATTCTGGATTACCTAAGTAGATAGTATTCACAAATCCTTTTTTTGTGTGTGAGACGTTTAATATTACCCACGTAGTGACGAGGTTCACGTGGAGTAGCGGAGGTATTGGAGGTGGTCTCAGGAGACTCAGCTAGAGGTCGTCTTTTATCGGCCGACCAATGCAGGCTGTAAGTCTTCGGCTCATCTGATCCTTTTCTTTACAATTGTGTCCCTTCTGGTTTTATGTTCTTTTCTCAGGTACAGAATTTATGATCTTCCACACACTTTATATACCAAGCCTGTATGGAAAATTGTGAATCCTCAAATCGAAGAGTCTGTCCAATTTACAGCCCTAAGTGCATCCCGGGAGTTTCTGAATTATTTACAGACAAATGCTCTCATTGTTGACTTGTGGGGTCTTCAAGGTACAAGCTGACTTTCCCTCTGCACGGGGCGTTCTTCAGCCAGGTACCATGTCAGTGTGCCCAAGGCTGCAGAGGTGGAGGGGGGTAGTCAGGGTCTTGACAGCAGCAGCCAAGAGCCGTCTTGCCCTGGGCCCCTGGGTCCTAGTCCACAGGTGATTACATGGTTTGCCATCTCCTCACACACCTCTGGGGCTGGATAACTGAGACGTTTCTTTCCTTGGTGGTGTTTCCCCCACACTACAGAGGGCTGCACTGAACTATGCTTCTCTCGGCTGGACCTCATGGTCACAGGTGAAGGCCACATCATGGTGGACACCAAGAACATTTCTCCTGTGCTGGATATAGGCCAGGTGTGTACATGTATGTGACATTAAAACAATGTCACAGATGACTGGAAAATCTCAGATGACAGCTGCTTCAAGATCATCAATGTTCCTTCCCCTTAACAAATGTTTTTTTGATTTACTTCTGTGTACTCTGAGGGGCTTACATCCTGCTCACTGCGCTCCCCCCTCCCCCCACCCCATAGTTTTCACGTGGTAGTAAAAATTGCCAATCTCACAGGATATGCAAATAATCTAGGAAATCTACATGTTTTTTTGTAGATTCCATCCAATCAGATATCAGAACTCTACCTGAAGCTGCTCAAATTAGAACAGGAGACGGAACTGCTCAGAAACATTAACAGAGCCCTCAGACAGGAAAATGTGTTTCTCAAAGAATCACTTGAGAAAATTGGTTCTAGTCAACAAGGTAAGAAAGAGGCTGCTCAAGACTCAGCTGTTCAGCTTCCCTCTAAACTCCTACTTTCAATGCACATCTTGTCTTTCCAAGAAATGAGCTTTTCAGTCGGCTAATCTGTATCATAAAAAAGGCAGTCCAAACTGGTGCCTGATAAATGCTGCTGTAGTAGAATGCCACCAAGACAATACAAGAATGGCTGGATAAATAAATACATGCATAAATAAACACTATCTTTTCTTTCTACCCAGCACCTAAAGCCCCTACTACCCTGAAGATAACTAGGACGGCAGCACAAGTGCCGGGGCCCGGAGGGGGGAATCGAGTGTGCACCCAGCCAGCCGGCTACGACAGAGAATTCGCCAAGGCTCTCAAGGTGTTCTACCAGAGCATGAACATGGCAAGAGGGCAGTTTCTCAAACTGAGACATTATAAGCCCCCTGTAAGTAACCAGAATCCTGGGAGCAATATAATTCATAACATTAAGATATTTTAGGTGAATGATTACTTCAATAAGATGCAGAAAAAGCATGTGATAAAATTCAGCAACCTGCCATTATAAAAACTCGAAGTGCCCTGCCGGTGTGGCTCAGTGGCTGAGCATCGACCCTGCACCAAGAGGTCGCTGGTTTGATTCCCGGTCAGGGCACACGCCCAGGTTGGGGGCCCAGTCCCCAGAGGGGGCATGCAGGAGGCGGCCAATCGATGTTCTCTCTCATCGATGTTTCTATCTTTCTCTCCCTCTCCCTCCCACTCTCTCTAAAATCAATAAAGAAAAATTATTTTTAAAAAACTTGAAGCAAACTAGGAATAAAACGAACACTCCTAAATCGGACAAAGGCAACCTTACTCAAACACTTTGGTGAACCCGTGAGAGCCTCCCCTTTCACATCAGGAAGAAGTCAGGGTACCAGCTATCTTCACTTCTGTTGGACATTGGACTTGAGGTTCTAGCCAGTGCAGCAAGGCAAGGAATACAAGGCATAAAGATTGGAAAGGCAAAACAACAGGGCCAATAATGACATACTTATGATATGATACTTACTAAGTGCTTTACAGTTGACTCAATTCTCACAACCACCCTAGAATAGGTACTATTATTAGCTTTATTTGACAGTTGATGTACCTAAGGCACAGAGAGGTTAAGCACCTTGTGTAGGGTACACAACTACTAAGTAGCAGTGCCAACCTCCAAACCCACACAGTCTATACTCTTTCCACCACACCAGGCTGCCTGTTATTATTCCCAGATGACATATTTATGCAAACAGAGAATTCAAAAGAATTGGTAAATAAATGGAATTACAAAGTCTCTGGACACAAAAAATCAATGGTTAAAAAAAATAATGGCATTAGAATATAACAACACCGCCCTGGCCGGTTTGGCTCAGTGGTTAGAGCGTCGGCCTGCGGTCCGGAGAGACCCAGGTTCGGTTCCCGCTAAGGGCATGTACCTTGGTTGCAGTTTGTCCCGGGCCCTGGTTGGTCGTGCGGGTGGCAGCAGCCACTTGATGTGTCCCTTTCATATTGATGTTTCTCTCTCTCTCTCTCCCTCCTGCTCTATCTGAACAAAGAATGAAAAAGTGTCCTCGGGTGAGGATAAAAAAAAAAAAAGAATATAACAACACCAAGCAGAAAGCATTTTAATAAAAGGTACCATTTATAATTGCATCAAATATAGGAAGTACACAGTATGTCCTCACTTAATGTTGTTGATAGGTTCTGCAACTCTACTCGAAACAATGTATAATGAAATCAATTTTCCACAGGCTAATTGATATAAATAAGAGTTAAGTTCCTACAGCATCTCACATTATAATGAAATTACATTAAATGAATCAACATTATTTGAGAACCTGCTGTACTTAAGCCTATGTTCTATAAGACTATGTACTTCTATGCAGAAAAATGTAAAAACTTGTTTGAGAGATGTTAAAGAACTAAATAGAGAAACATGTCATGTTCCATGGTTTGGAAGATTTGCTACTATAGATCTGTCAAGTCTCCCCGAGATTCAGTGGAATCCCAATAAAATGTAATAGAAGCTGACAAGATGATTCCATAGTTTAGACGGAATTGCAAAGTCAAGACCAAGACCCAAAATAAGGTGGAAAAACTTGCCCTACCTGACATCTAGGCTTATTTTAATGCTAGTACAGACAGTAAGGTGTGGCTCTAATATTGATACGATATCCAAAGGAAAAGAACGGAAGGCCCAGGAATAGATAGATTCATTCAGGACTAGAGACTGGATATACGACCAAGGTGGCACTGCAGCTGAGTGGCAAGGATGGATTTTTCAATAAACTGTGCTAGGAGAATTAAGGAAAATGAACTTGGAATCTTAACCAAAACAATTCCTGGAAATAAATTTTGGTGAGAATTAAAGGCCTAAATGTGAAAGGTAAAACCCTAATGCTTTTTGGAAGTTAATTTAGGAGACTGAGACTCTTCGTGACCTCACAGTAGAAAAGGATTTCTTAAACATGACACAAAAGACACCTGACTTTAAAGAACAACATTCCCCTACATTAAAATGTGAAGTTTGGTCCAGATGCCCAAATGAAGTCAAAAGGGATAGGAAAAGTTATTTGTAACACATTTAACATATAATATATAAAGTAAAAAACTAAAAGCCCAAAAAGAAAAAGATAGGTAGTCCAATTTTTAAAAAGTCCAAAAGACTTGAACAGGAGCTTCACAAAAGGGGAAATGAAAAAGGCCAATAAACATATGGAAATGGCTTCACCTCATTAATAGTTTGGGAAATACTAATAGAAACTACAATAAAATACTATTATAAACCCACCATACTGGCAAAAATTAAAAAGCCTGAAAATATCAAGCTTGGGGGAAGACATAAAGCAACAACAGAAACTCTCATGCACTGCTAGGAGTTATAAATTGGTATAACCATGAGTGTCTGCCATTGACCTTAATGTAAGTTGAGGATGCGTCTACCCTGGAAGCCTGCAACTCCACTGTTCTCCACTGAGTGAACTGATTCTGCAGAGAATTCAGCCCTTCTGCCCTGAGGCAGAGGTTCTTGAAGCATGGTTTCCCAACTAGCAGCTTCAGCATCATCTGGGGTCTTGCAAATTCCAGGGCTCCATCCCACACCTCCGAATCAGAATCTCTGGGTGTGGGGCCCTGCAATCTGTGCTTTACCAAGGCTTCTAGATGACTGTCTTAAACCGAATTAAAAAAATTTTTTTTTTCCTTTATTGATTTTAGAGAGAGAGAAAGGAAGGAGGAGAGAAAGAATCATCAATGAGAGAGAACATCGATAGGCTGCCTCCTGCATGCCCCGCACTAGGAATTTGGTCCACAACCTGGGCATGTGCCCTGACCAGGAATCGAACTGGCAACCTCTTGGTGCATGGGTCAACGCTCAACCACTGAGCCACACTGGCCGGACTTAAACCGAATTTTGAGAACCACCTCACTGAGGCATCCGATGTATATAATTAATTTCTTTCTTATATATTGAGAATGGTAAATATGAGAAAAAAGTTACTCAAATAATTTTGTGTTGTGTGGTTCAGATGAGGGACTAGCTGAAAAACTCAGCAGAAACACTTACATATGTGCACCAGCTCTTCTTAACACCACCTTCTATAATGGCCCCAAACTGGACACATCCTAATGTCCGTGCACAGAAGACCAGTAAACTATGGCACCTGCCACACTGGGAAATGCTGCACTGGCATGAAAATGAGCTACAGCCACATGCCACAGGGCAAATCTCACCAGTACTGCTGATTGAAGCCTTCAGGGCACAAAAGATGACATCCTGTATAAATCCATAAATGGTCAAAAGACAGGAAAATGTTACTTTAGCACTGCATTCTAGGTGGCAAGAAAGGATGATCACTCCAGTCAGGCTAGTGGCTGCTTCTAGGGGAGGGGGAAAGGGTGTGACCGGGAAGCAGAGTTCTTTCTCGAGCTGGTGTGCTCACTTTAACTATACCTATGCATACCTTTTGGGTACTCTTTTGTATGTATAATTCAAAAGAAAAACTGGTTAGATGAAAGACACTCTAAACAAAGTTAAAAATAAGCTATAACCTGGGGGAATCTATTTGTACTGTTTATCATCAAATATTACAATCCAGAATATATAAACAACTACTTTTAAAATTAAAAAAAAAAAAAAAAGATAACATGTTGGAAAACACATTGGAAACAATGGCCAAAGTGCCTGAGCAGCATTTGATTAATAATCAGGGAAAACAGAAACCAAAACGCAATGCCATGACCTGCCCTCTGACCGTCCCCATCGCAGTGACATTGCTACCATCTCATCCACCACTGGTCACTGGCAATCTGGCCCACAGGTGTCTCCAAAATCAATCCCTTCTCAGGGATATCTGCTTCTATGGGGTAGGGGGTACAACCCTACCAATGGGAGATTCCCCACTCCACATGGTCCAAAGAACATACGGGGTGGGCAAAAGTAGGTTTAAAATTGCTCTTATGGAAAAATAATACATAATAAATTGTTTCATGTACTCATAGCTGTAAACCTACTTTTGCCCACCCCTGTATACCATTCCAATCTGAAATGTTTGAATTATCTCCCCAATTTTCCCTAATGGCAGTAACTAACTAAAGGGCCATTTAGGTGGCCTTCCTGAAACCAAACATGCTCCCAGGTGACCTACTGCCTCTGCCGCCAACTTTCAAATGCAGCTGTCTAGCTCAAAGGAGAACTCACTGGGTACCCCACTCGCATACACACAATAGTTTTACTCTACTGATGTAAGTCTACTACTATCATTTTTTTTCCTTCATTGATTTTTTTTAGGAAGACGATCAAATGCTTCGGCCATTTGTATACCAACAGTCACAAATGTTAAAGGACTTTGGGGACTTACTTGAATCCAGCTTGTGGAAACTGAAAAATGATGTAGCTCTTATAGTGAAAAAGAAGAGAGAATGTTTATTGCACAGCAAATGAGGATACACCAACTGAAAACATTGATCTTTGAGTTGTGAAGATTACTTGGGCAGCTAATAAACTTAATGAACGTGGCTATCAGAGGTGAACTGTGGACTCAACACATTCAATCCATTTCCCAATTGCTCAATCTATTTCTTCTACCATTTTTTTTTTTTTTTTTTAATTAGAGAGAGAGGAAGGGAGAGACAGAAACATCAATGTGAGAGAAAAACATTGATCGGCAGCCTCCTGCACGCCCCCTACAGGGGATCAAGCCTGGGCATGTGCCCTGACCAGGAATCAAACTGGGACTTCTCAGTCCATGGGACACTCAACCCACTGAGCTACCGGCTGCGCTCTTCTACCATTTTTAAGCAAAGTTCTTCTCCTTCATTTTGACTTAAAATCATGTAAAAAAGAATCCATATCCAGGGTGACGGTCAAATGGGAGATATCTGAAGTGAATAGTTAGCATTCTGAACTCTGGGATCAGACTGCCTGTGGTTAAGTTCTGGTTAAATCCATCACTTGTGAATTGGGTAGTTTGAAGCAAATGACTTCACCTCTCTAAGCCTCTCTTTCCTTATGTTATATGAGAATAACAGTTAATAAAGTTATATAAAGCCCTTATAATAGTCCCTGGCACACAAAAGCAAATGATAAGGATTTGCCATTAATAGTTTCATGAAACTTCAAACAAAGCCCTTTTCATAAATTTCTTGCTGTCAAACATAGAGCCAATGGTTATTTTGTGCCCTCATTTTGTATCCTCGCTCTTATTTTCTGTCTTCACAGGTTTATTTGAAATACATCAGTTCACTAAGCAGTGTTAGTGCCTGTACTGTGGAACTGGTTCGGTACAGGGGTCTTGGGTGGCAGAGAGTAAGATGGTTGGTGGGATTTGCCAGCAGTAAGTCCATCTCAAAAGCAATCTTTTCTCTTTTTTGATTCCAGAGAGAAGGGAGTTGTGAGGGGGAGAGAGTGGGAAGGGGGTGGGGGCGAAGAGAGAGAAAGAAACATTGATGTACAAGAAAAACATCGATTGGTTGCTTCCTGCACAGGCCCTGACTGGGGATCGAACCTGCAACCTGGGTATGTGCCCTCATTGGGAATTGAACCCACCACCTTTTGGTGTAGAGGACAATGCTCCAACCGAGCCATACTGGCCAAGACAATCTTAAAGCAATCTTTTTTTTTTTTTTTTTTAATCCTCACCCGAGGACATTTTTCTTTCCATTGTTTTGTTCAGACAGAGTGGGAGGGAGAGAGAGGAAGAGAGAGAGAGAAACATCGATGTGAAAGGGACACATCAAGTGGCTGCCACCCGCACGACCAACCAGGGCCAGGACAAACTGCAACCAAGGTACATGCCCTTAGCGGAAACTGAACCCAGGTCTCTCTGGAACGAGGCCAACGCTCTAACCGCTGAGCCAAACTGGCCAGGGCCTTAAAGCAATCTTGATTCCATAAAAAATTGACTGATAGGTCTCAGTTAAGAACTGACAGGCACTTAGTGGTCTGGGAAAAGCTGTGAAGAACCCTTTCAAGCCTTAAAGAGTGTGTACTCTGTGGCTAGGCATTTATCTAAGAGCTAAACATCTAACAGCTCATTGAATTCTCACCATAATTCTAAGTTTGGCACTATTACTTCCTTCATTTTGAGGCTTTAAAGGTTAAATAAATTAGGTTTGTCCAGGCCACTGTGAGTTAGCAGAGGGTTGATTCTTGGGACTGCATTATTGACCACATGGCCTGCCAGCTTAAAATGCAGGACTGTCCTAGGAGTGGTTAGACTGATTTACATTAAGAACGAGGAAGAAGGAAATAGCAGTGACAACCCCAATTCTTACTCTCTAAAATATAAAGTTAGGGAAATCAAATAGGATGACACTGAAACTCTACTGGTAGGAGAGGTTATCAAAGGTTCCAAAATGAAGTGTCCCTGGGAAGGTAGGAGGTGGAGGGTAAGGGGGTAATCTAGGCTGGTGATTCTTAGTATCAGGGCCCAAGGGCTTATGGGAAAGGCCAGGGTTTTTCATGCACATAAACTAAAAAAATAATCTGTAACCTTAGAGGCCATGTGTGGAGCTCCATGTGGTGATGGCAGGGCGAGGGGTCAGCACAGCATCATAGAATCCTAGAGCCTCTCTCATGAGGCAGAACAGCGGTGAGGCCAAAGGAAGCAGGAATAGCTTCTACCTCTTAGATGGAGCCTCAAAGTTCTTGAACAATTTACAGAAAGTATATTACTTGCCCTTCTGCAAATGAGAGCAAGTGGAGCCTTGGGGCTTTGTTGGGGAAGGGGGTCAAAATAAAATGAAAATCAGACAGACTTGTATCTCAAGCTGGAGGACAGTCACACAAGTGGCCATATATTGGTATCAACACCAGAGCAGAACAGCATACAGTGCAAGGTTGGAAAGGGTGCTTACACACATGTAGCCTCACTCAGAGGCTTCCAAATGCAGACCGACACCGCAGATCCCTAGGCTCCAACCCCAGACCTCCTGCATACAAACTGCTTGGGATTCTGACAGGCAACTGATCATGAGATCTGTTGCTTCTGTACATCTTCCTGATTTTAGAGATGATAAAAACTTTTCTAAGGTCCCAAAAATTAGGACACAGCCGAGATCAGATCCCGATCAGCCCAGGGCAGAGGAAGTAAAGTTAGGATGAACAGTACTACCACCAAGAATCTCCATCTTTAAGTTAGAGACCCTCTTCCTTCTATACAGGTAGCACAGAAGGGGCTCCCAACACAGTAATACTCCTATCTGTGTCATGCTTCTCATTGTAGAGTAGAAATTCCACGAAGGTAGTGGCTTTCCTCTTTATGTAATTGAAAAGCACAGAACACCATGTATATGACTATATGCTTATTACAAAAGGAAACGTCCTGTGCTCTGCCTTATTTCAGGGCTTTAGTGGAAAATCTAGTTAAAATACAAAAAGTAAATTAGAGAAAATTCTGCTTAGGCAGGAAAATCAATAGAAACTTACCAACTGTATCCTTAAAACTAAGCACAGGTATTGAACCAGGGAAAATGAATGACAAGCTCAATGATTAGCAGTAAACAGGAAGCACATTTCTACTACTACTCAAATACCTAGGCCAGTCAAACACAAAACCACCATTCAATTGACAATCCTTTATTATTCAACTTAGATAAGTCCAAAATCAATCAGTGTGGATGGGTGAAAAACTAAACTAAAAAAACAAAAAGTGCAGCTTCATTTGGCAAAGGCCCACACAAAGGTAGAGAAACTCACTGGAAAGTAAGATCCACTCAGTATCATAGCAAGGAAATCAGTAGTGAGGACTTGACCAGCCTGGGCACCTCATCAAAGAATCTGTTAGCAACACAGAAAGAGACACCACCCCACCCTGTGATCTGCCAGCTCACTTATAAATTGACCATGAATTCTTCAGTGAAAAAGTCAGTCAAATATTAGTTCTCTCTCACAAGCAATAAAATCACAAAATCAGCTAAGATTTGAAATTTAGGGTAAGTTAGTATAATTTCCTGCTTTTAATATGTACACATCTTATCCACATAGTCAGACAGGCTTACAGAAGAATTTCAAATATCAAATAAAAAAGCTGTTAATTCATGCATTTTATGACTTTGGTTAATTCTTCAAATGTTTAGACTTCAGAGCTGCTAATGACACTAAATTCAATGCCACGTTTGTTGAGTCTGTCAATCAACTTTGTTCTGGAGAAAGCTGCTCCAGGTGTGAAGACCCCGCCCCTGTAAGACAATAATAAGATACAACAGTGAGCAAAGCCAATCTCCAGCCCCTAACTCTTCTAGAGTGAAGAGTGATTTGCTGGAGGAATAGTTAGCAAATCACTACAGAGCTCATGAAACCTGATTCTTTTGATTCTATTACGGACAAGTTTGAGTTCCATTCCTAAAATAAGACAAATGAGCAAGCAATTGTGACTCAGGAGGAAGCTAGTGCCCAGCACTGCACTGGTTCAGCTACTGCTCCACAATATGGTGTGCTTGAGGGGCACAGTAAGGGTCATCAACCAAGTAACCACTGCTGTTTATAAAGGTTGCCCTGCCCTGGCTGGTTTGGCTCAGTGGTTAGAGTGTCGGCCTTCGGACCAAAGAGACCCGGGTTCGATTCCAGCCAAGGGGATGTACCTCAGTTGCAGTTCGTCCGCAGCCACCAGCTGGGGTTGTGTGGGTGGCAACCAGTCGACGTGTCTCTCTCACATTGATATTTCTTTCTCTCTCTCTCCCCCTCCCACTCTGTCTGAAGATAAATGTAAAAGAAAAAAAGAAGGCAACTCTCAGATCAAGAGGATTAAATGAAGACCTGAGTGAAATAAATTTAGGCAAGCGATTATTAACAAAGCATAAACAGGACTTAAACTCAATGAAAAAAACAGTTTCTTTAAATGTAATGGCGAAATGTAAATACTAAATGTTTTCTTTTTTCTAAATTTATTTTTTAATCCTCACCTGAAGATATTTTTTCCATTTCTCTTTAGATAGAGTGAAAGGGAAGGAGGGTGGGGGGAGAGAAAGAGAAACATTGACGTGAGAGAGACACATCGATTGGTTACCTCCCGCACGACCCTGACCAGGGCAGGGGACAAACCACAACCAAGGTACGTGTCCTAGGCCGGAACTGAACCTGCCACTCTTTGGTCCGTGGGCCGACGCTCTGACCACTGAGCCAAACTGGCCAGGGCAGATAGTAAGTGTTTTCAAAGGGCATTAATATTGTTTCAGGTCATACCTAAATTTATTTATTTCTAAGCCTGAGGGTTATGTTCATTTGTGAAGTTGGCCTACTTTTAGGTAACAGCTAAATGCCCTGGTAAGATAGTCCCTTGATAACCATCTTGCCAGGATTCCACAAATCAACTCCCGCTGGTGTCAGGGCTCCCAGGGAACCCAAGTCAAGTTACATGCTCTCAAACTTTTACCTCCTCCCATTTACCTCTACATTGTTTCCAGAGGCCCATAAGGAATTTTCCTTCTCACAATTTTAATTTACCTCTAACTCTGTAGCAAAGAAACTATAAATGCTTATATGCGGACCCAATGCCTGAAAATCAAATCAAAATAAGCTAAAATATAACAGACGAAAAAGAGATCATCAAATTAGATGAAAACCAGACTTACGCCTTAGGAAGATCAGAGGCATCATTTAGAAGGGTCAGGGCTGCCTGGACCATGGCTATGGGGGTAGCTACATAGCCAGCCTCTGCAGAAAACAGTCGATTAAAGGAAAAGAAAGTTTTTATGAAGCATTCAACAACACCCAAAAGTAAAATATTAGGTTTTATACCTAACTCTAGGTATACAGAATTATCTCAATAAACACTTTGTTCACTTAATAACAAAAATAACTAACATTTATATAGTACTTTTGAGCATTAGGAACTGTATTAAGTGCTTTAAATTTACTAAATTCATTTAGTTCTCCTAGCAATTACATGAGGTTAGCACTATTTTATCCCCATTTTACAGATGAGGAAACTGACGCATAGACAGGTTAAGTAACTAGTCCAAACTCACAGTTAGGCAACAGCTGAGACAGAACTGCACCCAGGCAGCTCTTACCCACTACATTGCACTGTCTCTTGACAATGATCGAAGCCAATGATTCTAGGATTTACTGATTCTCTATTAATACACTAAACTTCACTCAAAAAAAAAAAAAAGGACTCAATTTCTTTCAAAACACACACACACAAATACTGAGTAATTTTTAAAGACGTCTCACTTCATGAAAAAGTAACTTTAAGCAACTGGGATATTAGTGTTTACACGCCTATCAAATAATAAAAACACAGTCAACTTATCTTAATAACCCAGATGGAAATTTGAAAAGAAGACAACATGCAAAGATACCTTTGCCATCTCACTTGATTAAAACTGCAAAACAAACCCCTTGTAACCTATCAGGGATGACAGTAACTAAACTTATAATTATACTATAATTCATAAATGGGACTGTCTGTATAGTTATCTAAAATTTACAGCCTAAGTTTCAGAATTTTTTGGATGACAGTTCCTTTTAACAATCTTACAAAAGCTTTACTCTCCCCAGAGAAATGCACACCTATTAATAAACAATGTCAGGGTAATAACAGACTCCAAAGAAACCTAGGATCAAATACACAAATATCAACCAGCCCTTTGTCTTTTTAATATTAAAACCTGCCATTCAGAATTACTGAACCATACTGAAAAAGAAAAACAAAGGAAGGGATACACTAATAAAATTGGAATATAGCAATAACTTCAATCCTTCTTTTGACAGAATCATTACCTATAATACTTAAATATTTTGTGCAAATATATTTCAAAACAATTATGCTTTGAAATAACAGCATACCACTTTACAGTTTAAGGCAATGTAAAATTCCCAAGCATTCTTAAAGTCATATGTGAAATACCTGGTCCTTTCACCTGAGTACAAATTCTGATATTGGGTTTGTTGTTATCAGGATCAAAGCCTTGGCTGTATCCTTGACCAAAGAATGTCATTGTAAATGATGTGGCATCCATCTGAGAAAAAGAAATCAAAGGTTTATGTAAGAAATATGTCATTTCCCCTGAACACAATCTAACCTACTATTCTACTTCATAGGAGACATTTTCGATAGATAAAAACTTCAATTGTCTGCCAGAATATCCTGTTATCCTTTAAGTATGGAGCAAAAATTAATTCTTTGAAGACCCAAGTTTTGATGACTGGTGTGATGCTGGGGGGAGGGAAGTGATAAGGACGAGGGAAGAGATAAAGATGAGTTTTGTGTTGTGGCTTGAAGAGGACAGCACCACTAAAATAGGCAATTTTAGGGCAAAAGCTGCAGGAAGCTTTTATTTTAGGGCGATAGAATATGATAATCTGGTTTTAGGTACCTGTTTGAGGTGACAAGACAAAAATAGACATCAAGTAATGGCAATATGGGCTTGAGGCACAGATAAATAATTGTTCCACTTAAGAGATATAAAAATACAATTCAAAAATTAAATTTTAGAAAACTTATCCAAGCATCTCTCACAGTCACTAAATTTAGAAATAAGATAACAAAGAATTCAGTCATGGTCAATACATTTTTATTAAGTATCGGCTAAAGGTCAGATGCCATGTTAGGCCCTTAGACATAAATAAAATATGGTCTCTATCTTTCTTGGAATATAACACACACACACACACACACACACACACACATTAACAATATGAAACAAATTAAAAGATGCAGGACTAGTTCAGAGGAGGGCATTATTAAATCTAAGGAGGAAGACTGGGTTTTGAAATGGGTTTACACACACATGTGCACACATATGCGCGCGCGCACACACACACTCTAATAAAAGTTTATTACACAAAAATGTAGGGTGAGTACAGGAAAGGAGCAACTATCATTTAAAGGAAAAACCAAAGAATACCATAGAAAAGAAAATTACAGGCCAATATCCCTGATAAAAATAAATGCAAAAATCTTAACAACCTGAATTCAACAATACATTAAAAGGATTATACACCATGATCAAATGAATTTAGGCCAGAGATATAAGGATGGGTCAACACCTGCAAATCAGTGAATGTGATACATCACATTCACAGAATGAAGAATAAAAATTATATGATCATCTCAATAGATGCAGAAAAGCATTTGAAAAACTTCAACATCCATTTATGATAAAAAAAAAACGCTCAACAAAGCAGGTAGGGAATGTACATTAATATAATGAAGGTTATATCTAACAAACCTACAGCTAACATTATTCTCAACGGTGAGAAGCTGGAAGTTTTTCCTCTAAGATTAAGAAAAAGACAAGGATGCCCACCTTACCACTTTTATTCAACATAACATTGGAAGTTCTAACCAGAGAAATTAGGCAAAAAAAAAAAAAAAAAAAAGAAAAGAAATAAAAAGTATCCAAATTAGAAAGGAAGAAGTAAAATGGTCACTATTTAAAATGACACAATACTACATATAAAAAACCCTAAAGAGTCCATCAAAAAAGTGTCAGAATAAACAAACTCAGTAAAGTGGCAAGATACAAAATCAATACAAAAATCTGCTGTGTTTCTATACACTAATAATGAATTATCAGAAAGAGAAATTAAGAAAATAATCTAATTTACAATTGTATCAAAAAGAATATAACGTAGGAATAAATTTAACCAAGAAGGTGAAAGACCTGTACATTGAAAACTGCAAGACATCAATGAAAAAACTGAAGATGACACAAATAAATGGACAGATATTCCATGCTCTCGGATCGGAAGAATTAACATTGTTAAAAATGTCCATACCACCCAAAGCAATGCAGCTTCAATGCAATCTCTATCAAAATTCCAATGGCATTTTTCACAGAAATAGAACAAAAAGGATCCTAAAATTTATATGGAACCCTAGAAGTCAAAGCATTCTTGAAAAAGAAGAACAAAGCTGGAGGCATCACACTCCCTGATTTCAAACTATATTACTAAGCTTCAGTAATCAGAACAGTACAGTACTGGCATAAAAACAGACACAAAGATCAATGGAATCGATCTGAGGTTCACGTACTACCTGATCTGAACTCTCTCAGGCTAGACACACATTCAGCTTTAGAACAATTTTCAACATAGTCTCTAGACTACTATCACCAATTAATCATAGTTGGTATGAAAATGAAACCCATCTGCCATCCAGGACTAGATCAGGAAGGGCCTCACACCTCCAGAGACAGACTTCCAGCCAGGGGTGCTCTATAGATGTGAACCAAAATCACTCACACCTGACCTGGAATCTTCCTACCTCCACATCAGTGATTTATAGCCTTCGCAGTCCATTAACACCAATGGAGACCTTTTAAAAAGTCAAAAGCCCATGCCACATTCCAGACCAGTCAAACCTGAATCTCTGGTCATCAGTTTTGGGTTCTCTCTTTGTGGCCCCATTCTATACCTATTAAATTAGAATGTTCAGATGAAGGGTAGGACATGTATTTGAAAAAAACTCCTTGGGTGATTCTTTTTTTTTTTTTATCCTCACCCGAGGACATTTTTTCGTTTTTGTTTTTTGTTTTTGTTCAGATAGAGTGGGAGGAAGAGAGAGAGAGAAACATCGACGTGAAAGGGACACATCGAGTGGCTGCCACCTGCATGACCCAACCAGGGCCAGGGACAAACTGCAACCGAGGTACGTGCCCTTAGCGGGAACCAAACCCGGGTCTCTCTGGACTGTAGGCCGACGCTCTAACTGCTGAGCCAAACCGGCCAAGGCTGGGTGATTCTGATATATAAAATCTCAGGTACGGATCACTGCCAGAGCAGTAAAAAGTCAGGGAATCATTTCTTTCTTTCTTAAATAATCTTTCATCTTTTAAAAAAATATGTATTTTTATTGATTTTTTTTTTGAGAGAGAGAGGAAGAGAGAGAAGAGGTAGAAACATCGATGTGAGAAACACTGATCAGCTGCTTTCTGCATGCCCCCTGCTGGGGGATCAAACCCGCAATCCAGGCATGTGCCCTGATTGGGAATAGAACGGGGACCTCCCAGTCCATGGGACCATGCTCAAGCCACTGAGCCACACCAGCCGAAGTCAGGAAATCATTTTAAAGAAGGTGGTAACAGGGCTAGACTTGTGTCACAGATCACTTGGACAGTTGTGGGAAGATGGATTAGAAAGAAATCACAGGAAGGCTATGAACAGTTCAGTCGAGAGATAAGGGCCTACACTATCTACAGAGTGAAAAGATAACCCAAAAAATGGGAGAAAATATTTGCAAATCACATATATGATAAGGGATTAATATCCAGAATACATAAATAACTCCTAAAACTCAATAGCAAAACACACAACAACCCAATTCAAAACTGGGCAAAAGGAGTTGAATAGACATTTTTTTTTTTTGCATTTATCTTTAGATAGAGTGGGAGGGAGGGAGAGAAAGAGACACATCGATGTGAGAGAAACACATCGAGTGGCCGCCACCCACATGACCCCAATCAGGCCTGGGGACAAACTGCAACTGAGGTACATGCCCTTAGCGGGAATCCAACCCAGGACTCTCTGGTCTGTGGGCTGACACTCTAACCACTGAGCCAAACCGGCTAGGGCTGAATAGACAATTTTTTTTTTTAATCCTCACCTGAGGACATTTTTTCATTTTTTGTTCAGATAGAGTGGGAGGGAGAGAGAGGAAGAGAGAGAGAGAGAGAGAGAGAAACATCGACGTGAAAGGGACACATCGAGTGGTTGCCACCCGCATGACCAACCAGGGCGGGGGACAAACTACAACCGAGATACATGCCCTTAGCAGGAACCAAACCCGGGTCTCTCTGGGCCGCAGGCCGGCGCTCTAACCGTTGAGCCAAACCGGCTAGGGCTGAATAGACAATTTTTAAAAGAAGATGTACAAACAGCCGATGAGTACATGAAAAGATGCTCAACATCATTAATCATTAGGGAAATGCAAATCAAAACCATAAGATACTATTTCACACCTATTTCGATTGCTACTATAAAAATGAGAAAAAAATAACCCACAGGAAATAGTAAGTGTTGGCAAGAATGCGCAGAAAAATTGGAACCTTGAGCACATGTGAAATGGTGCAGCCACAGTGAAAAATAGTTTGGTGGTTCCTCAAAGAAAACGGAATTACTATAGGGTCCAATAATTGCACTTCTGGGTTTAAACCTAAAGGAACTGAAAGTGGGGTCTCAAACTATTTGCACACCCATGTTCACAGCCGCATTATTCACAATAGGCAAAAGGCAGAAGCAACCCAAATGTCCATGGACAGATGAATGGATTACCAAAATATAAAGAGCACTGCTGAGATCACTTAGGAAGTGTGGGTGAGAAATGGGCCAAGGATGGAGCCCTGGGAATGATCAACATTTAAGGAGTAGAAAGAAGTGAGGATATAGTAAAAGAAGGAACAGAGCAGAAATGTGGAAGCAATGATCTCAGAAACTAAGGGAAGTGAGTATTTCAAGTAGGATAATAATTTCAAAGATAATAGACAAAATAAAGACTCAGAACATTCAATGCACTTATAGCAGTTATAAGGCCAAGGTGACTTTAGCAAGGGGACAGTGAAGGGTGAAGGAAGGGTTGAGAACTTTTAGGTGTGGAAGGACACTGGTATATTTACAGGATCAGGAGAAAGCACCGGTAGAGAGGCCGGAGGAGAATTTACAGGAGAGAAAAGGAATAAACAACCTATGAAGTCAGGAGGGAATCTAATAAAAAGTAGCAGTAATGGTAAAGACTCAGGCTGGTTTGACTCTAGGAGCCACCATACTCTTGCTTTGTGAACTTAAGCAAGTAACACCCTCTGATTATTTCCTAACCTGTAAAAAGTGGAGACTATTAACACCTTTACCTAGATGGTTGTTGGAAGACTAAATGAAATATAAAGCACTTAACCCTGTGCCTACGACACAAGGAATGCTTTTTTTTCCTTTACTGATTTTAGAGAGAGGAGGCGAGAGGGGGAGATAGAAACATCGACTGTCCGCCTCCTGCATGTCCCCCACTGGGGATTTGGGCCCACAACCTAGGCATGTGCCCTGACCAGGAATCGAACCGGCGACCTCTTGGTTCATGGGTTGACGCAAAACCACTGAGCCAGAAATGCTTGAGTTTTAAAGAACACAGGTAGCGGGATTAGTCTTGTACAGGGGGATACTTTGAGAGAGCAAGAAAGAAGGTGAAGATGAGAGCAATGATGACAGGTCTGAGATTAGGAATCTGAAGGGGATACACAACAGATATTCTCAGTTTCATAACTGAAGTAGACCTGTAATAACTGTAGATAGGGAAGACAGTTCCGGTTGGACAGATTTTGATAAAAGCCCAAGAGGAGGTGGAGAGATGACTAATGAAAAGTGAAAGGATCAGCAAGTGATGTTAATAGTTCCCAGGAACATGAATTTGGGGTGCTACCATCCTCTCAGCAAAGAAATCCCTCCATACACACACAGTACCTGGTGAAAGACAAAGGCTAAATGACCGAAGGCCTGACTCAGGATCTGTAAACCAAATAATCTAAAATGAAGGTATATTGTTGAGCATACAGATGGTTTATTCAATTTATCTACCATGGGGATCCAGGATATGGGGAAGGGGAAGAGGAAGGGAAGCTTAGGGGAGGGAAAGAGAGGCGATAAAAAGGAGGAGATAATAAGAGAAAAATGAAAGAGTAAAAAATACTTGAAATCTCGATGAAATAAAGGGAATAGAATTTGTGGGGCCAGATGGCTGGTTCTCATCCCTGCTTGGCTATTTACTCATTATAGGACCTTGGGCAAGTTTCTTAACCTTGCGGTGCCTCAGTTTCCTCATTTGTAAAATGGAGATAATACCCACTACTAGAGGTGTTTGAAAAGATTAAGTAATCTAATTTAAATAAAGAATGTAAAAGGGTGTCTGATACATTGTAAGTGTTCCATCAGGTCTTAGCTGTTATTGTCACTGCACTGAGAAAGAGTAAAAAACAAACAAAGAAAAATATTATTTTAGAGACCTGGATACAAAAAAAAGAGTTACCTGTTTTTGTGTTGGACCTTGTTTAGAAAAATAACCAAAGGAGAAGAGCCACGGGAACTAAAGGAGGGAAGAAAACCAAACCCTCAGTTATATTTTTAAAAATTCATGGAAAATACTTTTAGATCTAATTTCAAGCATATATTACTTACTTTTATGAGAAGTTGCCTGCCAATGCCAAACTTCACAAAGAATAAGAAGAAAAGTCCTGCAAACATTAGCTTAATAACAGAGGTGATGCCTCCCACAGTTACATAAGCAGCATATTGAACCTAGATGAAGAAAGTAAAGTCAGAGTGTTACTCTACTTTTTTAGGCCAAGTAATATAAGAATGTCAGCTACTTATAACTTACTCTGTAGTCATAAACATCAAACAAAAGCAGTTTCTACTTTATGAATGTGTTATGTTCAGAAACCAGACATTGGCAGCATTAAAAGAAATTGTTGCAAATAGTAATTAGCTTCCTCACTTGAACAAAAAGTCCACATAATCCACATATAAAAAGTTTAATACTATGCCCGAATTTAGCAGTTATACATTATAGAATGTAGCCTACACTTAAAACCTCTTCTATTAAGAAAATACTCTTTATCTTTTAACTTGAGATAGTTTCCTCTTCAAGTCTCAGTAGAGAGAGCAACTGTGTAGTTGCCTTAAGAAAACGAGTAGGGTGATACTCAGAGGCAGCAAGGAGAGGAGGAGAGAACCCAGACACCTCCCCAAGCACAGAAGAAGTATTCTAGCAGCTGAAACTCTGAACAGGAATTGAGGGGTGTTTATGACAGGAGTTCCCATACTGAACTTGCTTCTGTTGTGTAACATTAAAAAGGTATTCAGAGGCCAGATATGATTTATGGGTGGAGGCTATTACCACCTCCACAAAATGCAAAATGCCCTACACTACTGACTGTATAATTCCAGAAACTGAAATATACATTATTTACCTATTTCTTCTTTTTGCTTTACAAACACAAAAATCCTAATTAAACTTCAGGGAAACTATAACACAGAACACTTTTTATTAAAAAATAAATCATATACACTTACAGGTGATTGCTCTAAATTTTCATGCAAGTAACGCTGAGTTCGCTTCACAACAGACACATCTGCTCCCAAGAAAGGAATGGAATAACTGTTGAGTTCTTTGCAGTAAGAGCCTGGCCACCTGCAAGACAGACTCATGTTGCATTTTCTCCATTTACAGAGGGCATAATTTTAACTGGTAAATTTCTGAACAAAAATTTTAACTTTTCTTGAGGCAGTAATATTAATGAAGATGGCAGATCTGCTCTTAATTAATATTTCAGTATTTGTCCTTTGTTCTCTACACCTATACCCAAACCAGTGACAAGTGAACAGAGGAGTATTCTTCGCACCATGGGCACTTAATACATGTAGTTTAACTATGTTTTACCCCATCAATTTCACTGGACAATGAAAAAAAGAACACTCATTTCAACAGCCAAACTCTGAGGTTAGAGTTCTTACATATAAATGCTATTAACATATTGATTGATTAATCTACAAAAGATCATCACACGTTAAGTTGGTGGTATTACTACATAAAATTTAACTGATGTTTAATTTTGATATTGACAGTGAAAAGTAAAAAAAAATTTCCAAGGGTACAAATTTATTATGTATGAAGTACTTAAGCTTAGGGTAATGTATTAATTATATTTTATTTATCTTTGAAAATAATTCTAGACTTACTACAAAATAGTGTACAGGCTTTTCTTAGTAGCATACTTTATTAATAGCCAGATCAACACAAAATAGTTAGACTAGATATACGAAAGAATAGATTTTGAATTAATATACCTTCTTTTTAATTTTGGACCAACAATTGGGACAGGTTTCAGATTTGCCTCCTTTCGTAGTTTTTTCAAGTGACTCTGATTTCCCAAACCATAAACTGCTGACTTCCAGGTACCATCATGAATGCACAACCCCTAATAAAAAATTCAAGAATTAAAGAAACATGTCTTAAGGGATAATTACTAAAATGTAAAACCAAGTAAGTTATAATTGGCACGAAGAACATTTCACATCTATTTATGCAAAGCATAATCCTTTATTTAATAACCTTGAGATAGATTTTCATGACTGCTTAGGCAGCAATAACACTCATTAGTTTGGTCATATTCAATATTTATACCAACAAATGCCTTTTTTTCTTTCCTCCTACCATTACTTACGCTCTTTTCATTAAGTCACTGCACTTCACTTAGTAATTTTCACTCAACTGACTGACCACATTCCTTCAAAATTAGCCTCTCTAATCCCTATTCTTATGTTGATTCCTTAAAATTTCAACATATATTCACAACCACATTCACACATATATATACAATGTACTGTCCATCTAGTCTTCCCTATAGTAGTCAGTGCCCCACCCACCCCTCATACCCCTATTATAGCTCCAAGTTCTATAAATGTCTTCCACAGAAGTCTAGTTAATTTTTAAAATTTTAAGGCTTAGTTATATGATTTATAGTTTAATTTCTTCCCCAAATCCTCAGTTTCTTACTGAAACTGTACCCAGCATAGAATCCTTGCTTGATCTTACCCACACTCTCATTCATCCACTTAGTTTTCATTTCTCTCATGAGACTCTTAGCTCTCAGTACCTTCCATTTTTCCAATATAATTACACCTTCCACAACCCTCTGAATCCAGTAAGAAATAAGCAGCAAAAAGGAGACCACAGGTGAGGATGTAATCCTGAACTTACTGTCTCAGTGCTGACCTTCTTTACCTAACTTGTGGGTGGGCCTTTTAATTCTCTATTATGTAAATATTTCAGACTTAATTTATAATTTTGATTGTACATAACTGTATTATGTTCTGCCTTATATGCTGTTTACCTTGTTTGAACAAACAAAGTCATTTAGAAACATTCAAAACCAACATTGTCACAAGATTTGTAAGAGGAATGTCTTAGCTTTGATGACACTGAAAGGCAGAGAGAGCCACCAAACCTAATTTCCATTTTGGTACAGATTAATTTTCTCTGTTTTGTTAAAACTAAAACAGAGCTAAAAGTATTAAACGTTTGACTTGTGAAACTATTCAAAAACTGGGCCTAGCCAATATGACTCATTTACAAATGTAAAGATTTTCAAACACCAAGAGAAAACAGCTTTTTATTTTTATTTTATTATTATTATCTTCTGTTAATCCTCACCAGAAGATACTTTTTTCCATTGATTTTTAGAAAGAGTGGAAGGGAGAAGGGGAGGAAGGCAGAAGAGAAAAACATCGATATGATAAAGACATATCCACTGGTTGCCTCCCATATGTGCACCACTGGGGCCAGGTATCTAATCTGCAACCCAAGAACAGGAACCCCTTCAGTGCACAGGCTAACCCTCTAACCACTGAACCACACTGGCCAGGAAGAAAACAGTTTTTTAAAAATTTAAGAATATCTTCTAATACAAATAAGCCACCAAGAAAACAAATATTACATTCCATTTAAAAAAACATTTTACCTCATTTCATTGAAAAATATAACATAAAGAAGTTGCACAAAACATAAATGTACAATTTAATGAAATTATGAAGCAAACATCCATGTAGCCCAGGCCTTCCTTCTGTTCTCTTTTATGGTAATCAAGAAAAATCTTTGCTTTTCTTTAGAGTCTTACCACCTAAGGATTCACTCCTAAACAGTACAGTGAGTTTTGCCTATTAACGTATAGAAATGGAATAATACAGTATATATTCCTTTGAGTTAAGCTTCTTTTGCTCAAAATTATGTTAGGATTTATCATGTGTTAGAAGTAACTCCTACTCTGAAGTTAACTATTCCATTTTATTTTTTTATTTTAAAATCCTCACTCGAAGAAATGCTTTCCCTGATTTCAGAGACAGAAAGAAACATCGATGGGTTGCCTCCTGCATGTGCCCTGACTAGGAATCAAACCTGCAACCTTTTTTGGTGTACGGGATGATGCTCAACCAACAGAGGCCACACCAGCCAAGGCTCCAAAATATTTTTTTTTAGAAGATGTTTTTATTGATTTTTCAGAGAGGAAGGGAGAAAGAGAAATAGAAACATTGATGTGAGAGAGAGACATTTATCGGCTGCCTCCTGCACACCCCCTACTGGGCATGAGCATTGACCAGCAATTGAACTGGGACCTGTCAGTCCACGGGATGATGTTCAATCCATTGAGCCACACCAGCTGGGCTTCAAAACATTCTTGATCTCTGGCCTCCCAACTACATATACTCTCCATTCTCAGAATCCTACAGTATTTGATCTGATCACTTTAATAACAAATACTTATCTCCTGTCAAGCTAAATTATCTCTTTAAAAGCAGGGTTTGCATCTGATTAATGTATGTGTCACACTATATTGCATAACTATGTATATTTCACCACTACACAATACTTGTTAAATAAATTTTTTAAATATTTTTATTTTTTAAATGTAAGATTAGGAAACTTTTGATTTGAGAGAGAAACATCAATTTGTTATTCCACTTATTTATGCACTCATTTGTTGCTTCTTGGATGTGCCCTGAGATCAAACCTGAAACTTTTGTGTATCAGCATGACTCTGAAACCAACTGAGCTATCCTGCTAGGCCTGAATGAATACTTTTTAAAGATAACAAATACTTATGAAGCCTCAAGTAAAGACACAGAATTGGGTTAGACACTACTGGCAATAAAAGTACTATCATAAAATATGATCTCTCCCCAGAAATGCAACTATCTTATGATCCCATATAGACCATAACCTTAGTAAGATTATGTTTATATCATACATTTCTTGTCTGGCCACAAAAGCACCTAACGCCAAGATAGGCACATAATAAAAATGCACCAACACTGCAGTAAGGTGATAACTGTCTTGACTGACAACATTTATTGTAGAACAATGATAGAAACTTTAGTTAGGAACATGGTAATTCATTCCAATATAACCAATTGTGCAGTTGTTTTATTTTTAAAAATATACTTTCATTGATTTTTTTAGAGAAAGAAGAAAGAGATAGAAACATCAATGTGAGAGAGAAACATTGATCGGCTGCCTTCTGCATGCCCCCTACTGGGGATCAAGCCTGCAACCCGGGCATCTGCCCTGACCTCCCAGTTCATGGGACCTCTCAGTCCACGGGACAACACTCAATCCACTGAACCACACATGCTGGGCTTGTGCAGTTGTTTTAAAAATAGCTTCTAGCCCTGACTGGTTTGGCTCAGCGGTTGGAGCATCGGCCCGTGGACCAATGAGTCGTGGGTTTGATTCTGATCAAGGGCATGTACCTTGGTTGCGTCTCCCTCCCTCCTACTCTATCTGAAGATAAATAAAAAAAGATCCTCTGGTGAGGATTTAAAAAAAAATTAAACACAGGGAATTTCATACACTAAAAATTACAAATATACATATGTGTGTGTGTGTTTAATCTAAATCTATTTTAAAGAGGCATGTATTATTTCCAAAATGTTTTTAATATTAACTTGACAAACAGAAAAACTAACCTCGGGTCCTGATTGTATAGTCAGGAAACTTTCCACCGAAGTCAAAGTACCTGTAAGAGTCGGAAAATGGTCAATGTAAAATCAAATAAAATCTATTTTGCCAGGAGAAGTAACAGTGAATTATTTCTATTTATTTAGGGACTGCTTTTACTAAGCCTACAGCTGACACAATCAGAAAATCAATACTGATAACAGTTTCATTATGTTATTGTAAACAGATTTAAAAAGCAGCTAAACCAGGTATATTGTCAGAAAGAGTAGTTTAGCATAAACTCTATCTGCTAGTACTTACAAAATATTTTCTAGTATTCAAACTGATGCTATAAATCTCTTCCAATAAGGCAACAATTTAGCTCACTCATTCTGGAAGGCCAGCAGGACACAGTTCTCAAAATTACAGCTATGGGAATTATCTAGTTTTCCAATACGACAGCTTTTAAGAATACTTAATAGTGACATACAATTAATGTATAGAAAAAAACCTATCAAAATGGCCTTTGTGATAGCTTGTAAAATACTTAAAATAAAACTATTAAAATGGAATAAAATATAAAGACAAAGTAAAAACAAAACCAAAGCCAAAAAAACAAAAGGAGATATCAATTTTATTAACTATGAGGACTAATATGATTGATTAAGTATTTAATTAATCTTTGAAATTCTCCTTAGGTGTAAGACAAAAGAAAAACATAATGAGCTGGTTAATTATCAAACTCTCATAAAGATGAAATATATCAATTTCATAAAAGACAGTGTTCCTAGGTTTAATTCCAAGAAAAAATTAAAACATAGGTGCTTAGAAAAGTTGGCCCTGAGAAAAATGAATAACCATGTCATAAGTAATGATGCTACAGCATAAAAGAACAATAGCCACCTAAAAATGTCAGCAGTCTGACCACTGACAAGCATCAAGAACAGATCATCTGAGTATACCTCACTGGAGATGACTCAAAGGGTTGTTAAGAGTGCATGGCCTGAATATATGGCTCTGTGACCTAACCTTCTCCACAGAAAGAACATGGACCACTAAAGCAGTATATAATGAAATGTGGACCACCTGCATCAAAAATCAGCTAGGGTCCCACTGGTGTGCCTCACTGGTTGAGCATCGAACCACGCACCAAGAGGTTGCCGGTTCGATTCCCAGTCAGGGCACGTGCCCAGGCTGTGGGCCCGATCCTCAGTGGGGGACATGCAGGAGGTGGTCAATTGTTCTCTCTCATTGATGTTTCCATCTCTCTCTCCCTCTCCTTGCCTCTCTCTCTAAAAATCAATAAAGAAAAAAAAAAAAAAAACTTTATTAAAAAAAAAAAAAAAAGCAGCTAGGATCATTGTTAAAATGGTGACTCCTAGGTTTTAATATCTGAGAAAGGTTTTTAAACAAATCTTAAAGTACTATTTCTCCCTTAAAAAGGAAAAAAAAAAGACCTGTTCAAAGTAACAAAATCTTTTAAATATTTGGGAATAACCTCAATAAGATATATGTAGGATATCATGAAGAAAATGTCGAAATTTTACAGACTTACAAGACTTTTAAATAAATAAAGACATACCAGGTCTATGGATTGAGACTAAATATTTTAAAGATGTTCAATTCATGTTTTGCTTTTTATTGGGAATGGTTTCAGTGTTGCATCATTAAGTGTGTTGTTGGCTACTGCTCTGACATTTATTATGTTAAGAAAGCATTCTATTCTTCAATTTCTAAAAATCTGAAATCAGTAAATGGCATGAACTTTCAAATTATTTACTGAAATGGCATACAGCTTTCACCTCTGATATTCTGATGTGATGATTATGTAACTCCCTAATAAATCTTGGTCTTGATATCTTATTCTTTTAAAATGTCATTGGGTATTTATCTGGTGTTTTCTTTTTATGACCTACTTCACAAGCAAGGTTGATTTTAGTTTTCATTTTTTTGTGTGTTCTCATCTTTGTTGGGCTTTGGTTTCAGAGTTAATTTTTTAATATTAACTGGAACACGTTCCATCTTTCTAAGCTCTAGAACAATTTGTATGGTACTGGAATTAAATGTTTCAGGTCATTTTCTAAATGAATAAAAATATGCATGACATTAGTAACTTCCATGTTTTACCATACTACTCATAATATTTTCTATTCTTAAATTATTGTCTCCGTTTTATAAATGGAGTAAAAAAAAGATGTCAAAAACTTTATTCAATGCTTTCTAGCTTTGTTGGTTAAAAAAATTAAAACCTTTGCCCTGGCCGATTTGGTTCAGTGGTTAGAGCGTTGGCCCACGGACCAGTGAGTCCCAGGTTTGGTTCCTGCTAAGGAACCAAACGTATCTTGGTTGCAGTTTGTCCCCGGCCCAGGTTGGGGTCGTGTGGGTGGCAACCACTTGATGCACATCGATGTTTCTCTCTCTCTTCCTCCCTCTCTCCCTTCTGCTCTATATGAAGATAAATGCAAAAATGTCCTCCGGTGAGGATTAAAAAAAAAAAAATTAAAACCTTAATTATAATATCTATATAAATTATACTTTAAAATGTGTTAATTCCTAAACAAAACAAGTTTGAATTTATTATTATGGATGCCAAATTTGTCCCCCCAGAAATTTTATAGCTGCAACCATAACTAAATTGAGACAATGGATAACTTCTCACTTTAGAACACTTACACTACTATCTATATCTCAAAAAAAAAAAGTGTCAATAGCATTTTATAACAAGCATAGCTATATTAAAAACAAAGCATGTGTTTTAATATTACCATTTATAATTATGTTTCTTTCACCAACCGATCAGATTTTAGTTCATCATTAATTACAAACATAAAGCCTTTCTACTGTTAAATTCAACTATTGTGAGGTCAATAATTACCATTCATTTTATTGCGGGTATATATTACTCCCATATCTGCCGGAATGGAGTCAAAGCCACTGCTTCCAATGATATAAACCCCCTTTTCTGCAGCTTTCTCATGATACTTCCAATACATTAGTTCCAGAAACTAAAAATTCAGGACAAAAGAGCTGAATCAGAGCTATATAGAAACATCTCCGCCAGTAACAAATGATTACCTTTATAAAGACAAAGCAATGCAACTTTGAAAATGCTAACCAATGTGGCTCTGGAGAAAAATTAACTGTCAAATGTTTTTCACTTATTTAGAAAAGTTACCACATGTACCAGGTGCTGATCTGATTTAATGACACTATTACTTCTTTTTTTTTTTTTTAAATGTTTTTACCATCATGCTCTCCTGGAATCTTTCCATGGAATACGATCTCTAAACACGAGGGAGGAGTCATCACCTTCTAAAATGTCTGTAAAATTGCACTAAATATTTTCCACTTTAACAGAAAATTGTGCTATTAATTCTGTTTTCTTTTTCAGTTTACGAACCTGAGGTTCTCCAGAGATGTCAATACAGCTAGTTCCATTTTCAATACATGCTTTTACTACTGGTTCTCCATAAAATCGATACTGGAGGAATAAAGAAAACCAACAGGTTACTCTTACTTAGCAAGCTTAAATGAATGAAATACCACTCAGTTTTGGAAGTACATTCTTGGTTATTAAGAAATCAAATATTGCCCTGGCTGGTTTGGCTCAGCAGTTAGAACATCGGCCCGCGGGGGAGTCCCGGGTCCGGTTCCCGCTAAAGGCATGTACCTCGGTTGCATTTTGTTCCCAGTCCTGGTTGGGGTCATGTGGGTGGGAGCCACTTGATGTGTCTCTCTCACATTGATGTTTCTCTCTCTCTTTTCCTTCCTCTCTCCTTCTCGCTCTATTTGAAGATAAATGCAAAAGTGTCCGCGGGTGAGGATTAAAAAAAAAGAAATCAAATATTAAAGTAGCTTAAAGGTAAATTGAAAAAATAATGTAACTGCAATATACCAACTCTCACAGGACAGACTTACAGAGGACCCTATGCTTACCTCTAAATGAAGACAAAATGGGAAGTTTTATATAAGTGATTCATTTGAGCTGAATTCTGAAGAAGAGTAGGGATTTGCCAGAAAAGAAAATCCAGATGAAGGACAAAGTATATGCAAAAGTGTAAAAAAGGGGGTTGTTCAGAATACCTGAAGCACAAGCTAGTTGAAAGGAGAGTGGGAAGTGATGAGTCTAAAAAGAAACACTTGGGCCTTGGCTGGTTTGAATCAGCAGTAAGAGCATCAGCCTGCAGACCAGAGTCTCGGGTTTGATTCCAGTCAAGGGCATGTACCTCAGTTGCAGTTAGGTCCGCAGCCCTGCTTGGGGTCGTGCGGGAGGCAGCCAATCAATGTGTGTGTGTCTCTCTCCCCCTTCCAACCACTCTATCTGAAAATCAATGAAAAATACCCTCAGGTGGGGGTTAAAAACAAAACAAAACATTTGGGCCATTATCAGAAAGGACTCTGATTGCCATGCTATCAACACTTAACTTTATCTGTTCTGACAGCTTCTATTTTCATAGTGAAAAATAAAACAAAAAACCAAGTCATAGACACAGACAACAGTATGGTGATTTCCAGAGGCAAAGAGAAGGTAGGGTGGGAGTAGATAGAAGAGGGTAAAGGGGGGATAAATGGTGACAGAAGGAGACCTGACTTTGGGTGATGGACACATAATACAATATACAGATGATGTATTATAGAATTGTACACTTGAAACCTATATAATTTTATTAAGCTATGTCACACCAATACAGTCAATAAAATTTTTTTTTAATTTATTTTTTATTTTTTCCTTTATTGATTTTAGAGAGAAAGGAAGGAAGAGGGAGAGAGAGAAACATCGATGTGAGAGAGACACATCGACTGGTTGCCACCCACACGACCCCAACCAGGGCCAGGGACAAACTGCAACCAAGGTACGTGCCCTTAGTGGAAACCGAACCCAAGACTCTCTGGTCCACCGGTGGACACTCTAACTACTGAGCCAAACCGGCCAGGGCAATAAAAAAATTTTTTTAATCACTAGGTAACAATGAGAAAAAGGGACAGGATGCTAAAATTGTTAGGAAAAAGTAAAACTGCTGCTTCCAAGAGTAGGAGAATTACAGCCTAGGGAAATGGAGCAGAATTGCTGGAGGTGCTGAGGCCCAACATGAGGTTTGTAATCACATATTTAAAGAGGGACCAGTTGGCATGGGGATGCATTTTTCTCCAGCGATGCTGGGTTACTTATATTCAGGTAGAGAGAAAGCAGAGAGCTGGAATAACCAGGATTGGGTGTTTTTTAACAGAGCACTGGGGAGGGAAGGGCAAAGGAGCTGGCTGAAAGTGTATACAGGAGTAATTCAGGCAAAGGACCACAGAATCTAACCTAGTTAAGAATGGGATGAATCTAAACAAACACAAATTTAAATACATTTTTATTTGCTAACAATCAAAAAATCTTCCTGGTTTCATTTTTTAAATTATCAACAATTTTCTTGATGCTTAGTGTTCCAATGTTTTGCCAATTGTGATGGCTTCCTCAGATCAGTAAAAGTCACCAACATTCACCATTACACAAGCCAGAAGTGCCTCTTTCACAGTTAATACAAGGACAAAAGTTGGCGGTTCTCTTCTCAAAATACACTCTGAACTCAACCACCTCTAATACTCCCACCCGGTGCTTGGCTTACTCGGACCATCCCACTGCTATTCCCCTACCACCTATTTTTCATCTCAGAACTTCAAAACTGTAAATCAAATTATGCCCTTGTTTAAAACCACCCAATGACTATCATATTTAGAAGAAAATCCAAAACTTGACCTGTCAGGCCTTATGACCCCTGGGTACCTCTCCAATCTAACTTCCCACTTCTCTGCCGTGCTCACAGCCCAGCCACACTGGCCTCTCTCACACTCTTCAGTCTTACCAAGCACATGCTTATCTCAAGACCTTCATACTTGCTCTTCCCTGGAATACCCTTCTCCTCAAATTCTCACATGGTTTATTCCCTCACTTCTCAGCTCCAGGCAAATGTCAAGTACTCACAGAGACATTCCCTGCCCATCCAATGGAGACTGATGTGTCAATCTCTTTATCTCCTTATTCTGCTTTATTTTTCTTCAAAGCACTTATCACTACCTGCTATTAAACCTTATTTTTCTGTCTCCCACACTGGACTGTGAGCTCCATGAAAGATTCTGTTTTATTCATTATGTCACAGGTATCTGCACTAATGTATTTACACACAGGGGTGGGCAAAAGTAGGTTTATAGTTGTGAGTACCCAAAATACAGTTTATTCTTGTATTGTTAATTTGTAAACCTACTTTTGCCCATCTCTGTGTAACACAGTCAATAAATACTGAATAAGTGAAAGAGTCCGTTTTTGTTGTTAATACTCAATTGAGGATATTTTTCTATTCATTTTTAGATAGAGTGGAAGGGAGGGAGAAACATCAATGCGAGAGAGATACATCAATTGGCTGCCTCCCACACAACTCCAACTAGGGCCAGGATTGAACCTGCATCCCAGGTACATGCCTTGAGCAGAAATCAAACCCAAGACCTTTGGTCCAAGGGCCAACACACTAACTGCTGAGCCAAACTGGCCAGGGCAAAGTCTTTTTTCAATCTCTATTTCTGTACACGTTTTTAACAAATGTATGTATACAGCAACACAGAAATGTAATTTATAAATAAATAGAAAGCATATTAGGAGAACATGCTCAAACAGTTTTTTACTTAAGGAGCATGCAGTAAAGGAAAAAAGCTTGGCAATTACAGCTGTAAATAACAAACAAACCAAACAAGTCAGCACACATTCCTTGAGCATGGTGTCACAGAAATCTGTCACTCTCTCCCTCAGGAGATTGTGGTCATATCTATTTGCCAATAACAAGAAGTGAAAACTCTCCACATAGGGTTAAAGCCCTGAACCAACTCTTCTGTCCCCAGCCCTTATGTTCTTCTGGAATATAAAATAGCAGATTCTGCTAGAAATGAACAGATTCTTTGTTCTAACACATACAAAGTAGGGCTGATTACTTACTGGTCCTACACAGTTGAGGACAACTGTTGCCTGTTTGGCCATTTCATCAAGTGAGGCTGGATTACTGATATCACAAATTATGATTCCAACTTCAGATGGTAGTGTTGGTCTTCCTGAAATAAGAAATAAATCATTTTAAGTGCATCTGATACAGTATTTTATCTTCCAGATCTTCTTAGTATAGTAATCAGTGACAGTAAAATCCTGAAAGCTGGCTCCCTCTCAAACAAAAGATAAAACTGTTTTTAATCAGGTAATTAAAAAAAGGAAAACGGAGTTAATACTAAGGGTGACTACAAACATTACTAACCTTAAAAAAACAAATCTAACATAAGTAACATGTAAATGACAATCTTGTGTAAAAGGACAATTTTACAGTCGTTTAGATACTGAACAGATGATTGTCCTGACTTCCTCAGTGCCAAGAATTGTATTATAAAAATTTTCTCAACAACTACTAAACAATTACATATGATAAAATTATGCGGGTAGAGGGAAGTTGTTAATATCAGCATTGTGAGAACAGAAGAGGACTCAGGTGAAAAGCACAGCCTAGGTAAGCACACCCAGGGTCATAAAAAGGAGATAACTGAAATTCACCGAGTCAAGGGAGTAATGCAGGTTTTGATAGGTCAAGGTACATTCTCACAGTAAGTTGCTCTGGGTATTACAAATGGTAGGTAACTAGGCTGTACCTGTAGAGTCTTACTGAAGGACAGAAAAAAGAAATGTAAGGATATATTTTAATAGTAAAATGATTTCTTTTGGAAAGGTAAAGAAAGACCAAAACGCTCTTTGGTCAAGATCCTGTATTTGCTAGTGGCAGCAGGAAGAGTTGTGGGAGCGTTCAGCCTAGGGGGTATCTTCTGTACATAACCACAAACAAAAGAGATGCTACGTTCCCATCATAAACGGCTCTGTGTGGAATGATAAAGATGTGAGATGAAACTGAACAGAACAGAGTATACTCAGGTGCTATTTGTCTGCATGAGGGGAGACTAGGGTGGAAAAAAATCTAATTTAAAGGCTACTAAGTCCCACATTAGGTGTCTCCCCCACCTTGAGGGCAGGGTCTGTGTGTGCCTCTCCCTCTCCCACATCTGTACCCCAGGACTCAGAACAAGATCTGGCGTAGAAAAGACCAGGCTATGAAAATCTGTGGCACGAATGCTGAAAGAATAGTAAACGCCCAGACCAGAAATATAAACCCTGGGACAGGGGTGGAAGGTGGGCAAATAAAGAGTAAGCCTGCTGGAGGATTCTTAAGAGCACTAACTAACTAACAAGCAAGCCACAGTGTCGCCAGTGAAACTCGTAAACGTTCTCTCCCACGTCCGAAACCCAAGACGAAGGGAGAGAGCACAATCTTGAAAGCCAATATCGAGAAACCTCTTGCTCTCGGGTGGGACGGAGCGAAACATTAGGAACTCAAGTTCCTGACTGTTTTCGTCAGCGGGGCTCCCCTAAAAAGAGGGAAAGACACTAATTTTCCTTGAAGGTGGGGAGCGGAACAAAGCCACGGCACGGTGAAGCACCGCTGTCCTCCTGCTGTCCTCAAGCAGGCCCGGGCGCCCCGGGGCCGCAGCCAGGAGGGCGAACTCTCTTCGGGCGGCCTGAGCCCCTCGGCCGGGGGAGGGGGTGCGGCTGCGAGCAGGGCGCCGAGCCCGGGCCTGCGCCGTCCCACCCCGCCCCTTACCCAGCTTCTCGGCCGCCCTCTCCAGCACTTGCTGCAGCTTCTCCCGGGACCGGCCCGCCACGGCCCAGGGCAGGCGGGAACTCCCCTGCGGGTCCGCCTGCTCTCGGGCCACCTCCTCCGTCACGAACTGGCCGGTGAAGCCAGAGGCGCCGAACACCACCAGGTGGAAAGGCCTCTGCTTGGTCGCCATGACGAGCCCACTGCGAGCCGGGGCCCGAGGCGGGCTGAGTCCACGGCGCCTGCGCCCCAAGCAGCGAACCCTGTACCGGGCGCAGCAACCGCCTCCCAAGTGGTCGCCGCCGCCGCCGCCGCCGCGCCTTTGTCTGCGCGCCGCGCTCCCGACGCCCCTCGCGCGCCGCTGCGCAGGGCCCCGCCCACGCTCACGCGCCCGCCCACGCCCACGCGCCCGCCCCCGCCCACGCGCCCGCCCTCCGTCTCCTTCCCGGAGGCTTCGGCCGCTGCGCGGGCCGGGGCTGGAACCCGGGGCCCACCCACCTCCGGGCTGGCAGGAGCGGACGCTGTCTGACCTCGGGCTGGAGGTGGCGGCTCGGGCGGCAGCCTTGTTCTCGTCGCAGGAGGGGGTTGCGCAGAGCAAAGTCGGCGAAACCTTTCTGATGACGGGAGGGGACCACCCGCGCCAAGACATCTTTTTGTTTTCGAAGCACGTTAGACAAGTGATGTCTGGGTTCTGGGGCCGCCACGACGATCCCTGCCCAGGGCCCAACTCTGCAGCGTCGGCTGCCGCAAGCCTCTGACTCCGTCATCCTGGGGCCGGACCCCTCGGGGACCCCGCTTCATGGTCGGCGACAACTGCTAAAGTGGAAGCTCCGTGGGAGATAACTCCCAGGGCTACCCAGCCCTGTGAGCTGCGAAGTGACATGACCGGTGGTTCAGGAAATCCTCAAAATGCAAACGAAATCAAAAGTTTCTTGACCAGTGTTATGCATATATTCAAACACATTAATATTAATGATTGAAAACAAAATAGGGAAATAAATGGGGAGAAGAGACAAATCTCCCAGTCAGAGCATTCCGAATAATTTGTGGTTATTACCTTACCTACTCCGGGAGAAGAGTTAAACCCCCTCCTTTTGAATATAAGCTTTGCTAAGTGACTTGTTTCCAAAGGGTAGACATAATGGAAAGAAGGTGGAAGGGGATAACTTTACAGTAGAGAAATGTGGTAAACTCTGATCGAGGTGCTAACATCGTCCCTCATGAGTCGTGCTGATAGCATGTAATCTTGATATGTATGCTGTAATAAGAATGACACTTTGTGGTGTTCCTCCCCAAAACTCATACTTCCGTCTAAACATGGTGAATATTCTGCAAAATACCTGACCAGTATTCCTCAAACTGTCAAGGTCATGAGAAACAAAGACAGTCTGAGAAATTGTCACAGACTAGAGGAGCCTAGGATAACTAAATGTAATGTGGTAGCCTTGGACAAAAAAAAAAGGACATCAGAGAAAAGCTAGTGAAATCCGAATCCAGTGTGGAGTTTAGTTAACAACAATGTACAGACATGGGTTCCTTGACTGTGATAAGTGTACCAAATTAGTGTAAGATATTAACAATCGGGAAAACTAGTGAGGGGTATAAGGGAATGTTCTGTACTATCTTTTCAACTTTTCTGTAAATCTAAAAGAATTATAAAATTACAAATGTAGTTTTAAAACCATTTACATGCATTTATATCAGATGCATGTAAATATGTTGTCTCCTTTAATGCCATTCAGCAAGCATTTCCAGGGAGCCTATTCTCTGTTAAGCCCTAAAATAGATCCTGGGAACACAGTGATTCCTTAAATGGGGGATAAACAGTTTAATTGTAGTACATGTTACAAAAGAGAAGGGGAACTATCTCTGGGGCAGAAGAAACAGTTGTCCTAGGTTACAACCTATTGGCGATGCCCAAAATTATGCCAGGGAGCCCTGAATGTGCTGTAATGGGTACCATTCACTGAAGAGGGAGTCTTTGAGAGGAACTTAGCCTTGACTTAAGTTAGTAGGGTGTAGATATAGGATTGAGAGAGACAGGTATTCATTTATTGATCTGGTAATCTTTTATTGGGTGTGTCATATGTATCAGGTAGAGAAATCAGGGTCAGATTTTGAAATAAAGTAGTATTTTACTAAAGAATATGAAGTCGCTTGATAAGATTCAACATCTATTCCTGATTTTTTAAACACTCATTGAAATAGGAATAGATGGATGCTTTTTAAAATTATGAAATCATACAAAAAAGGTAAAGTCAATAACAAATAAATACCCACGACACACACAACCTAAGAAAAATATTTCATATAGTGAGGCTTCTGGGCAGCCATCCCTAAACACATTTCCTTTCCTATCCCCAAGGTGGCCACTTGCCTAAATTCCATGTTTATAATTCCTGTTCCTATCTTTCTATTTCTGCCATATATATATGTATTTCTAAGCATTATAATATTGTCTTGTAATACTTTCTAAATAAAGCTAATATTTTTACATGCCCTTTATGATGTCTTTAGCTTAGTCTCAAATGGTTCAGAACAAAATATGATGTGTGTGTAGAGGGAGAGAGTAATACATGAAATGTTACAATACTTTTGGACACTTTTTTTTACTATACAAGGTATGCTATAATGAAATTCTTGTGCATGTCTCATGGAGCACATGTGCAAGAATATATCTTAATATATGTCCAGGAATGACAAGGGTTAGTTCTAGAATATGCATATATGAGATGTAATCAAATTGCTCTCCAAAGCAAATGTACTAATATACACTCCCAGCAGGATATGAGAATTCTCTTATCACATTCTTGCCAATATGTGGTATTGTCAAACTTTTCATTTTTGTCCATCTAGTGAGTATAAAATAGTATGTGCTCACATATTTATTGAGCACCTACTATATTCTAGGCAGTGGCAATAAAATACTAGGAATACTGCAATAAACAAACCAAAGCCCCTTACCCTCGTGGAATTTACTATTAAGTAATATGTAATATCTTGACCTTCCTATAGGCACAAAAAACTTAATAATCCTATAGAAAGATTTCATACCTACCTGCCAACTGACAAAAGTCAGCTTTCTATTCTTCAACACTGAAAACACTGAGCCTGCAGAGTGATCAGGTACCAGCAGAAATGCCTCACAACTCCTCAGCAAACAACATGACATTCCTGCTGAGGCCCTCGGGAGGACAGCACACCATTTATAGTGACTACTGTATTGATATTTGTGCACTGTATTCTGTAATTTTTAGTGAGCATGATACTTTTAAAATGTGCCCCCCTCCCCCATTAACCTTGTGTGAAACTGAGTGCCTACTATGTGTTAGGAACCATGCAAATCCACTTTAGATAAATGTTATTTCTACCAGAAGGTAGACTTTATTTTATTTAATTTATTTAATTTTATTTTTTATCCTTACCCGAGGACATTTTTCCATTTTTGTTGTTGTTCAGATAGAGTGGGAGGGAGAGAGAGGAAGAGAGAGAGAAACATCGATGTGAAAGAAACACATCGAGTCACGACCCAACCAGGGCCAGGGAAAAACTGCAACTGAGGTACATGCCCTTAGCGGGAACCAAACCCGGATCTCTCTGAACCTCAGGCTGACGCTTGCTGAGCCAAACCAGCCAGGGCTAGGCTTAATTTTATTAAGTTGTTATGTAAGCAACTCTTCAGCCTTTGAGCCTTGTGTTACAAAGACCAAATTTTGAAACACTGGCCTATTAAGAAACTAAATCACACCACACTATTAGCCTCCTGGTAGGATGGACATTTAGTCACAATGTTTCTTTTGTATTTCTAATGAATTCATAGTAATAATAGCTACCTATTAGCACCAAGTATATGCCAAAATTCTACAAATATTTACAACTTTAAGTTGAACATTTAAATTTCATATTAGAAATGAAGGCTCAAGGATTTAAATAATTTTGCCAAAATTGGAACTGTCCTCATTAACAACCACCATATAAAATCATGATTAAAATTTCAGAAGAATTTGGTTGTTGGTGCCTAAAGGCCTGATGACTCTTGAGAGATAGTATACAGATCACAGATTAAAAACTTCTCTATGGAAAACAATATGGTGTTACCTCAAAAAATTAAAAATTGAACTGTCATTTGACCCAGTGATCCCACTTCTAGGAATATACCCTAAGAAGCCTGAAACACTAATCAGAAAGAATATATGTACCCCCATGTTCATAGCAGCACTATTTACAATCACTAAGATCTGGAAACAGCCCAGGTGTCCATCAGTAGACAAATGGATAAAAAAGCTTTGGTACATGTACACAATGGAGTACTATGCAGCTGTAAGAAAGAAAGATCTCTTATCCTTTGAGATAACATGGAGGGACCTGGAACGTATCATCCTAAGCGTAACAAGCCAAGCAGAGAAAGACAAATATCACATGATCTCACTTATTTGTGGAATATAATGAACATAACAGTCTGAGGAATGGGGTAGTTCCAGAGAAACTAAATAGGGTACAGACTGACAATCCCCAGAAGGGTGGGGGAGATAAACCACAGAACTTATATGCATGTGTGCATGAACAATGGACATGGACAACAAAACTGAAGACAGGGCGGGGAGGGATGGGGAGGGAGTATCAGTGGGGGAAAAAAGGAGAAACATCTGTAACAAAAATAAATAAATTAATTAAATTAAAATAAAATAAAAACTTCTCCAGCCCTGGCTGGTTTGGCTCAGTGGTTGGAGCATGGACCTGCAGACCAGAGAGTCCCGGGTTTGGGTCCTGCTAGGGCCACGTACCAAAACAAACAAACAAACAAACAAACAAACAAACAAACACTTCTCCAGGTGGGCATGCATAGTACTACTTACAGACCAGTGGTTCTCAAACTTCACCATGGATCAGAATCACCTGGAGATTTTGTTGAAACACAGATTGTGGGGCCCCCACACCCAGAGTTTCTGATTCAATAGGTTTGGGGTAGGGTCTGAGAATCTGTATTTCTACCAAAGTCCCAGATAATACTGATATTCTTGGTCCAAGACCACACTTTGAGAACCCACTGTTACAGGAGATTCAAGAGAAAAACTACAGAGAACAGCAAGGGAGACTGTACATTTGGTAGGTATCTTTATTAAACCCCAGAACCCCTCTTCTGAAAGTACCAAATTACTTCAATACAATGATCATTTATTGAGCATTTGCAAGCACTAAGCGAGGTGCTGGGCATATTAAAAATATCAACACTGGCCCTGGCCAGTTTGACTCAGCTGTTAGAGCATCAGCCTGTCGACCAAAGAGTTGTGGGTTAGATT